AAATATACTGGATTTTTTTTTTTCGAGTAATTTTATGCGATTTATTTCACTACTATTTAGATTGATTTTCAGCTGAACAATTTGGAGTTACATTTATCGACTCAGATGTTAAGAATTTAAGGCCTTAAAACAATGTTATGATTGTCAACAAATTGCTGATTAAGGGTTCGCTGGAATTATTTTGAAATTACCAATGGACTTTCAGTTTTTTTTTTTTTTTGTTGTTGTTGTTGTTGTTTTTGTTTTCAACTAAAGCAATTTCACGCACACTACCTACCATCGATTTATGCTTGAAATACTTCCTTCTGGCAGATACATTAAACCAAGAAATTTGCATTAATAAAAAAAGTAAAAGTTACTTCATTTTTTGAAGGGTAATTTTTATATTACGAAAGAAAAATCGATAATCAATCAATGAATCCGTTCGATACATCATTACAATTCCAAAATATATAATTGTTCATCGATGATTCCGTACGCCTTATGTAACTATATTTAACTCGAGTAATCGAGCATTATACAAGCATTGTTGCAAATATGCAGTGTAGGAATGTATTAATATTTCTATATGCCGAGTAATATGTGCAAGTTTAAAGCAATTGTAATGTATTATTCAGTACATCGTAATTTATTCATTATATTCTATTAAAAAATAACGAGTATTAATGATTGTAAATAAATTAAATTTATTTTCCGATGTACATATAAAAATAATAACTATGTAAGAGAGTATCACAAACATGTAAATTAGAATTAGAGTTTCGAGAACAAATAATAAATAAATGAAAAAATAATATTGTTTTCCTACACTGTTATATACTTTAAATCCATGAATATTGAATTCAAAATGAATATTGAATGCCCGATTTACATAATCGGCAACATTTCTGTTTATTAATGCATTCTTATTTCTTATCTTACTTTAATAAATCAGCATCACCATATTTTTTTGCATTCTTTTTAAGTATTGAGTTCGCAAATTATCATTTTTAGGTTAGATTAAAGGGAATGATCAAATGAATAATATGCGAAGGTATTAATTTCAACAACAACTTACAAAATAATAACAGTTGTCATTGTCGATTCTCCATTATTTATATTTCAATTTTGCCTTAATTAAAACTAGTAACTACAAAGCGTAATATGTGCGTGTGTGTGGGTGCGTGTTTTTTTTTTTGTTTTTTTTTTCAATAAATTTGAATTTCAATGCTTACATTTAATTAATTTAATTCTATTAATTATAGATAGATTAATTTTTATATCTGCAAACTATTACTATTTGCTTTTATTTGGCTGTAAATTTTATGATGTATTTTAATTTATTCATTTAATAAAAAGAAAACCATTTGCAATCTGTATTGTCTGTAATCTGTATGTATAAAGTATTTTTTCAATATTTGGGGCAATGTAATTTAAAATATTCCATTATAATAGTTAAAATTTCATTCATATTTTTAACTAAATTTATATTATATATAATTACCACAGTTATTTATTGATTTATATATGTTATATAAATGCATTTGCCAATAAATCTCCGCTTGCGAGGAATCCAACAAGAATAAAATGTTTTCTTTCAGTTTCACTAAATGTACAAGCATTTAACAACTTTTTTTTTTTTTTTTTTTTTTTTTTTTTTAACAATGTTTCATTAAATACTTCAAGCTTCTAGATGTATTTTTTTTTTTTTTAATTTACGAAATTTACTAATATCTATAATATACTAATTGTTTTTTGTACTCTTTTATAATATGATAATATTCGTACTTTTGATTTCATAAATAATAAATAAGCGATAAGATAAGAGAAATTTATCAGAATATAAATAAAAAAAAATAATAAATAAATAAAAATAAAAGAAATACAAAGATAATTATGGAAATACTGTGAATGGCACACGTCATCATTAATAATTAAGGACTTTCTTATACGAATAATATATCATTGTAAGAAACTTAAAAACAAACACAATGAATTCATAAACATTTTGCCAAATATCAACGAGTGCTTGATAATCATGAATAAGGTAAATAAAATAAAATAAATATAAATATAAACTTTTATTGATTAAAGATATCATTTATAAATTATTAATAATCACGAGTTATATATTTGCACTAAATTTTTTCAATTTTCAATTTAAACTATCTTAATATCTTAACTGTCCTAATGAAAATTATAAATATTTTTCTACATTGGACTACATTTTATGGAGAATATCATAAAATACTAAACAATTATAAAATGTGCCGAATCATTTACTTATTTCGTATTGGAATTGATGTACGAATGTAATTTACAGTATTCATTTAAATTATAATCTATACTGGATTGTAAAAGTCAATATGATAATTTTGGATGAAAAGAAATGATGTAAGATTTTTTCGCTGACAATAATGCCGTTTTGACAATTACTTTACTGTTATTACCTTAGCATACATTGCATTTTTACAATATTAATAAGTTATAATCAAAACTGCATTAAGTTTCTTAAATTCTTAAATATACTACTGTATAAATAAAATGTTCGATATTAAAATGTTTGAAAATCTTTCAGACATTCTCGAATCATTGAATAATGAAGAAAGTTATTGAAGATATCTATAATAGTAATAAAATATTTCAAAATAAAAACAGCAGTATAAAAATATTAACTTTAATAATATACTTTTTCTTTCGTGAAATATTTATAGTAAAGAACATAAAATAATGCTATAAAATCAAATAAAATAAACATATATATATATATATATATTATATTTTTCATATATTTATTAATGTTTTCATATTAAAACGTAAGGTTAATTCATTCGTTAGAATAATTGTATAACTTTATTATAGAATTCTTATCCGTAAATTAAGGCCAATTTAAATAGTAAACTCAATATGGTTGCGATGACAAATAGTTGATATATTATTATGCAATCGTTTACGAATAAATGTGATGAAAATTGTTAATTGAAATAATAGTACATCTGAATTTGTTTAATGATTAATTTTTACATAATAATATTCTATAGTAATAGAAGATTTATCTATTCGATACGTATTTGATTTTGACACTACAACACAGATATTGAAAAGGCTCGAATATATGTCAGATGTTAGATTTTTCTTGAAAATAATTTTCTTTAATGCCAGTGCCAGCTTTCAGTTCACTTATTAAAAATAATATTCCTACGTATTTCAAATAACATACATTGAAAAAAAATAAAAATAATATATTATATACATTTTTAATGTATAATATAAATAATCTATAAAATATTAATATATTAATTAAATTTCAAAACAATATTATAACAATTAATTTATATAGAAATATTTGAATATTCTATCATTAACAGTATAAAATAATATTAATAACTCCGTATTATGCTCTTGTTATTAAAGTGAGAGTATTAAATTAGATAGTATTGATTTATTTTATGAATTTTGATGTAAATTATTCTACTTATCTAAATGTGTGATGCAATATTCTATAAACATCATTCTACAGAACTACTGATTCTTATAAAAAATAACGACACCGCGTCAAATATTTTTTGCGCAATGCTACTATTAAATATTAAATTAACGACATATTTTATTTTTTATTTTATAATTACTTGTAAAACGATAAGATTTTTATTTTATAGAATTTACAATTTACAACTATACGTAGAAAATTAAACAAATTGAAATTATAGACTTTTTAAAAAAAATGTGTATTATTATACTACAAAAAATCATTCGGTTAACTATTATTTAAGTATATGAAATGGAAATTAAAATATACGTATGCATTGTAAATTAAGGATAATTTTTGTATTTTTTCATTTTATTAATCGAAATGCTCTTAAAGTCTTATAATTATCAAATTTAACAGAAACTTGAAAACACCTTTGAACTATTCTAAAATATTGAATAATATAAATAATAATAAATATTTATATATTAGCTTCTATTTTAAAGTAATACTGGTATCAAAACATCCACTAATACATAAAATAATAAACGAAAATTCTTTAGCGCTTAAATAATTAAAAAATTTTTTTTTTTAATTATTCAGTTCATTTATACGTAATTTATTAATATATCATACGCACGTAATTGGTTCGATGATTTTTTAAAATTTGATTGATTAAAATTTTCATATTGGTTTCAACATATTTTGATTAATAGTGAAAATATTGTACTTTCTCTTACTTAATATATGCAAACAAAAATACACGAATAATAGTTATCACGATTTTAATTTGCAAAAGTATTTCTAATAAATGTGTATAGAGTATATAAATAAAGTATACAATTAATGTGTAGCTAATAATTAAAAACCAAAAAAATTAATGTTTTCTTGTATTTGACAAATAATTATTAGTAGTCATCCACACTATTAAATAACGAAGACAATATAAAGTTTTAATTATTAATCATGAATGTCCTTTCATTGAAATTATAAAGAAATACTATTTAAAAATGAAATAATTTAATAAGTAATTTTCATAAATAGACCATTAATGATTTTAAAGTTAACTTCATTATAAAAATATATATTTGAAATTTATAAAATTTAAAAAACTATTTCAGCGTTAACTTAAAAATATTTCAATGAAATTTTTCATTTTAAAATAATAGAGTTTTCTCGTCTAATATTAAAATATATCCATTTAATATGTTAAACATAAATCTATTAGTTTAAAGAGATAGTTCAGAAAATATTAATAAACATGAGAATATAAATTTTTATTTTGCGAAATTATGATAAACGTATTAAATTTACTTTGAAATATAAAATTAAACTTATCAAACATCAAACAAATAACCATTTTTTGCGAAAACGATTAGTGATTAATTTTTTTACTAATTAAAGAAATAACTTGTTATTCGTTTCTAACTTATGATTATATGAATAGGAATTTAATTACTATTAATCAATTAATAATTAAAGTAATGTTAAATATTAATTATATGGTATATGATTGATTTATTCTTATAATCTAAATTATTGCAATAAATACCTGGTATCTAATTTTCCTTTCATCCATTGAGGTAAAAATGTAGCTTCTCCAATGAATCTATCAGATGGTCTTGACGAACCCATTTCTTTATTGAAATTTAAAAATCACTATTTTTTATGTAAGTACTTCTTTATTTGTTAACTGAATGTCTTAAAACTTTTACAAATGTGAAAATGTATGTAGAAGTAATAAATTTGTATGGTATAGTTAAATATTTATCTCCCGCTCTTCTTACTGAGTATACGCTTCCTAAGAATATGAGTTTGACACCATTCTACCGATCTAAAAAACAAGATAAATTATTTAAAAGTTATTTAATTAAAATTTCAATGTAGCGATTATTAGATATAATTCTTTTTACATTAAACTAAATTCATTTGAAACAATCCGTTAATATTATCTCTAATATTTTACGATTTATAATTTACTCTACAATAATAAACGATAGAACATTATTAAGGTGGCTTTATAAAAAATATCAATGCTTAGTTTAATACATTTGCATAATGTCTGTAGTATTAATTATAATTGCGTACAGATGTAAGAATAAGGTCATATTTTTGTAAGAACAAATTACATTTGCAATTACACGTTCATTAAACATAAGCATAAACATATATTAGATATTATAATTTGTTTTATCGCTATCTCTTATGTAATATGAAGCTTTAGCTATATATATATATATATATATATTTTTTTTTCTTTCTTTTTTTTTTTTTTTGTTACAAAATAGCACTATCATTAAGCGTTTTATAATAATTTTAATGAAAAAGAACAATGTATCTCTTGTGTGTGTTTCATCAACTTTTAACATTGGTTGCTCATTGTGAAATCCATTGAGTAATACAAAAATGCTCAAGCAAATACGGTCTAAAAATACTAATAAGTAAATAATATTAACTAGATCGAAAATCCAAAGTCTCGATAGAATTGTAATATCTCCCAACATCTTATCGAACAACGTTCAATTTGTCAATACATCAAGTGCTGTAAATTGTTCCAAAGCAAAAGCCATGTTGAGGAGTGCGTCGCACGTATGGACGTTTCTTGGAAATTAAAAATTAGAACGCGCATAAAAGCAATACTCACCCGACTTTTTCTGCAAGTTGTGGAATTTTTGAAAAAAGCCCCCATAATTTACGTCGGAATGAGCGAGAACCAGTCGATCGTACCGAATCAATCTACAAAAAACTTCCCAACTACTTTGACACTACGCCGCGATACCACTACCCCGTTCACTACTCCGTTCGATCTTTTTTACTTTTGTTATATACTCAGCTCTCCAACTTTCCAAGATGTCAAACCGACAATCATCAGCTTAGCCAATCGCTGTCCAACTTCAAAATGCGCAAGCCAAATTGTTATCCTATTGGTTGGATTGGTCATTGGTTTATATTGCAAGTTTTTCAACCTACCCAATTCCAATTAATTCTACATTTAGATACTTTCGATTTCTTTGTCAATCACTTTGTTTAATATCAAGGCTCGTTTATTAAATCGACGTTAACGGACGTAAACGTACGGTTAATGAGCTAATACGACAGTCGATGAAAAAAACTAGCAATAGAACGAGAGACACAACGATTGTGAAATTACTTTTAGCGTATTTTGCCGATAATTGTGACGCGTCTGTTGACCGTCATTTTCCAATAAGATCGATTATTAGTTAGCTTTCGTGTGAAAATTTCAAAATATTACTCTTTTCGTATTCGAGTTCGATTAAACTTCTATCGCCATAATAAATCTCTATATATATTGACATTTTTATCTTCAAACGATTATAATGAAACAAATGAAATACACTTATTACACGCTTGTTAGCGTAAACTTTACAAGACAAGCGATGCGTAGCGGAAGTATGTTGTTTAAATAATGTATTATAGGAAACAGTGATAAGACGACAATGCTTTGTTAACTGATGGCAATTTATATTTACGTGATTTTGACGGATTTTTCCTCTTCTTTTCGTTTATTCACGCGTTTCTGAAGATATATATACAATATTTAAAAGAAAAAAAAGAAAAAAAAAAGAAGCATATCACGCAAACGAGAAAATTGTAACACACATTGATGATCAATCAACATAATTTGTTTAAATTTATTTTACATGTCAGGAGTACGGAGAGTCTTTAATGTATATGCAAATGTTATTTTAATTATTTTAAACATTGTGTTAATTGAACGTTCGTGGCTAAGAATAAAAGTCAATATAAAAAAAAAAAATATGAAATATTCACATGAAACTAATACTTTTTTAATAACAATTTTTAGGGTTGATAATAAATTAGCAATGAATAATGATGTTTTGTATGAAATTTTTTAACAAAATATAAACAACAAAAGTTGAATTTGAAAATTCCACTCCAAAGTGTGCTTTAATATTGTATATTTTTTTTCTACATTAAAAACTTCAATCCTTCAATTCATCGTATTTAATCATTATATTTATAATATTTATATTTATAATTATTTTATAATAAGGAAATTGAAAGAGGAATATTTACATGTGAAATTATAAATTATGATGTAGCATAAACATATTTGTATTTCGAGCGTTAAGTCATTCTTGTAAGATAAACGCGCACAGCGACAATGAACAAAGATAGAGATATAACCATTATATTAACACGTGTTTGTTCATGTAACGAAAACATTAAATTTCTTTGTAAATAAGTAAAGACACAATATGGTTAAAATAAAAAAGTTGAAACGAAAGAAAAGATTTCGTGTAAATATTAATAGAAAAAGACTGAGGAATAAATTAAGGAAACTTCCCAATATTGAATGGTACGTTTAATAATATACGTTTTTGATTTATTTATTTATACTTATTTATATTTTGTTAACTACATTGTTATGCTATTTATTACAGTAACGAAATTAAAAATGCATGGAATTTAAAGAAATCAACGGTTAGCAATTTATCACAAATGGGTTTAGCGTATGATCCAAATCAAGTGTTAAAAATTCCAAATAGAAGGCAAGAAATGTTAACAGCAGTGACGACCAGCGATGAAAATAATGATTCGCAAAATGTTAAAAAGGGTATTAAGAGAAAGTTATACGTGGCACAAAATTTGGAAGAAGATGCAAAGTATCCAAGGGCTAGGCTGTTTCGTTTACCCAATAACGAAGTACAATTTGCCACCTATATGATCGATAAATACGGAGAAGATTATAAAGTAAGATTAACATTTTATCCATACATAGGATGTAAAAAGGTGATTACGATATATGTTTATTTGCTTTTTTTCTTCTATTTTTAAGGCAATGGTGAAAGATAGGAAAAATTATAATCAATATACTTGGCATCAAATAAAGAAAAAGATAGATAAATTTAAAAGTATACCAGAACAGTATGCTGAATATTTAGTAAAAAAGGGGGAATTTATTTTGGAAGATTCAACTCCATTAAAGAAAATCAAGCCATCCGTTCAACAATCGGAAGTAAAAATAAATTCAAAACGAGTAAAAAGGAAAAAGAAGAAGCCCAAACTTGTATCGATATGGCACGAAGAAACTGTTGATAACGAGTTAAATAATAATCTTATAAATGACTCTATTGATGATTCTGGGCAAGAAATAATTCCAATTAATCAAATTAACAATGAAAATAAATTAAAATTATTTTCAGATGACGAAACTGAAAATGATGTAAGTACGAGTCAGAACAAGAGTTCTGACAATATTAAATAAATATAATTAAATAGAAATAAGGTATAATTATCTAATTTGGAAAATAAAAGAAATTAAATGTTGAAAAACATGGATTAATTTATTATATCACATATTATCCATTAATATTAATTTAAAAACGTAGTTTATATATATATATATATTTTTTACAATAATTAACTAGTTAGAATTATTTTTAAGCAATATTTTACATTTCCGTACTAATACTAGTACGGGTAGCATAGAATCTTTCAGATTCTTTGACTAAATCCATCACGCTTTCTGAAGCTTTAATATGATAATTTTCAATATAGTTTATACTATTTGATTCCGTTTCTTCAATGTAATATCTATAAATGAACAAATAAATATATATATATATATATATATATTTACACATATATGCAAATTTGCCAATATTACATTGAACTTCAGTGCAATTCTATACTTGCCGATAATTAACCATGATTCCACAACTATTGGTCATTCCTCTTTTAGAAACGTCTGCCATCCAATTCAGCCGCCACATAACAGCTCCATTTCGAAGATGAAAATTGGCTTAGGAAAATATTTATGGGCAATTATAATCATGAAAAAAATATTTAAAAAAGTCAAAGTTTTTGCAAATTTTTAAACAAAATCATTTAGATTATTGTACGCTACTTACCAACATTATTCAAACTATAATTTCTATGTTTTTCTTTATACAAATACCAAGCACAGGAGCGCAATAATGGTTCTTTTAAAATAGCGACCAATTGCTTGTTATTCAACCATAGAGAATTACTAAAAATTTCTTTGAAACACACGTATAAATCTAAAGTTTCAGTAGTTGTTATTTTATAACTTAAATTAGTTTTAATACTATCTTGTTCACACTTAGCAAAAACTGTATTAATATCTATATAAATTGTAAAGATATACACCATTTTATTTTATACGTCTTTAATCATTATTAAAAGTAGTTGTTCAATAGCATTGAATAAATAAAATTTATCCAACCGTATTATTAAACAAATTGCCCACGAAGAAATAAGAAATACCTCTTTTCATTTGATCTAGAAGCCATAGTCGAAATTTTGGTACAGGTGATAAACTAGATAATTGATTTACCATTGGAAATTCCGAAGTTACTTGATTCACCACTTCCTTAATTAAATAATTTCCCAAGTCGATACCCTGTATGTAATTATGAATATATGTTTTAATTTTAAAAGCAATATAATCTTAATGAAATGCATATACCCGAAGACCCGTTTGAGTCGATGCTATAGAATAGAAAACAGCTGCCTTAATTTTGGATTTATCCTCTATCTCTTCTTCATTTGATATTTTCTGTCTAAATATTCTATTGTCCGAATCTTGAATACTACTCACACTATCTACGGATAATTATTAAAGATATTATGTAAATTATGGAGAATAATTATGTGAATTATTTACCAGGAATAACATCGCACAATGCCGTATGTAAAACAACTAAAGGCTCTCTTGGCATAGATGGATGAGTAAATATGAAACATCTTCTGTATGGTCCAACACGTTTTTTCAAATCTATCCAATTTTTTACAGGATGAATGGCTTCATAATCGGAAATCTATCACGATACATTTATTTAATAGAAACCAATTGCATTTTTTTAAATGAAAAAAAAATTAATACTTTTTGTAGAATATCGCATGAAGTTTGCCAAGTAATTCGTTCGACTTTCATAAATCCCACTGAAAACCATAAAAATAATAGCTCTTTTAATGTTGCATCCATCTGCACTAGAGCAAAAGTATCAGGAGAATTGTTCGAGGAATTTTTTAGTACGTCCTGAAAAGTATGTTTGAAAAATCAGTGATTATTTTAGTATTACTAATAATTTTCTAAATTATTGATAAAACATACTAAAACATTTGATCTAAAATCTACAAGAAATTTAACGCCATTGCCCAATCTTCCGACTCGTGTGAAAAGCCAATGATAAGGTGGCGTAAGAGCATCTTTGAGTGATTTTTCTCTCGAAATCAATTGATTTGTATTCTGTACCTGAGAACATTTTAACAGTTTTTTAACAGTTAAATACAGCTAGATTTACTAAAATATGTCTAATTTAAACAATTTATATTGCAAACCTCGGTGTTAGATAATTTTTTAACAAGTTCACATATTTTCTCATGATTAACAGAATATTTAGTGGCTATCAATAACAAAAATTCTATCTTTTCATCTTGAACAAGTTTTTTATAATACTGACAAAGAGAGTTGATTTTACTCTAAAAAGAAAAGAAAAAATAAAAATGAAAAATATATAAATTCCATATTAAATAGCAGTCATTCATTGTTGAAAATGTTTGCTCTAATATGAAAGAACATTAAAATTAAACAAACAAATAATGTTTCTGTTATAAAATTTCATTATATTTAATAATAAATAATATAGGTAATATGTAAATAACTAATGCACCTAAGCATAATAATCTTAATATTTTTATGAATTTAAAATGTCAAATAATTTAAAAGACACGAGTTAAGAGCTACGATACATTTTAAAATGATATATACTTCAATAATCCAGTTACTATTTTTTGTTGTTTTGTAGTTGATAATTTCTAATAGCTTTTTATCAATATTATTATCTTCTATTACATAATTGGCCTTCCTTCTGACATTTATTTTATTACAAAGAAAATCAAAAACTATGCAACGTTGAGCAAGATTAGATGCTTGAAAAGTTAAAATCAGTGGTCTCATAGCGATTGATGACCAAACTTAATTATATCACCTGCAATATTAATAGAATTTTATTTTATTTATTGTTAATATACTATATATTTGGTTGATATTGGCTCAATCAATTTCAGAAAATTAAAAATGAAATTTCTTACATACTTTTGCAAGTACGATAATAATTCTAATAATTTTGATAGTTCCTTCTATCGTTTAAAACTAGAGTGTTTTTCTACGTATTTACCCATTAAGAACATTAATTTGAGAATGTCGATAATTATAATTGATAAATACTGATTCAATAAATAATATTATAGTGGAATTTCAAAGTTCCCTTAAATTTTACGCATTTATCAATTATAAATAAATATGCAACAGTGGAAGGAAATAAAAACTGCATTGTCATTAGTGTTACACTTATGCATATAAATAATAACATTTTCAAATTTGTCGTACCAATTAAAGTTAACACATTTTATATAAAAAAGAAAAAGGAAAAAAGAAAAAAAAGAAACCATTCGGTTCTATCACACCATAATATTGAATTCCAAAAAATCTTTACATCATGATGAGACGTTATTTGTGTTGGTTTACGAGTCGAGTAACTTCCTATACGTAAGCATTGTCAAGAACACGTGCTTCCCTTAATTAATTAGTATGAGAGAGCGCGAAATTTCAAATATATTAAACATAAAAACTATAAAATATATGTAGTTAATGTTTATTAGAACAAGGTCATTTAATAAATTTCTCACTTAAACGATAAAATGATGAAATTTTTATAACAATAAAAACAATTTACGCATAAGAACGGAAGATGCAATGCCGTTTATTTTTACATGAGGATGAGGGTGATGATTTATTTTTTATTTAATTTGGTCAGTTTATCATTGATTCCTCTGCAATAATAGTCTTATAATTTAATGTTTTATATCACTTGCAATTAAGGATCTCTATTGCTTTATAATATCACATTATAAAATGTAATGTACTGTATGTGGCCTTTAAACATCACACTGGATGTATAAATTGCATCTGTAAAACCATTGCTCATGATTACTTTCATATATATATGAGATTTTGCAATATAAAATAAAAAGTATCTAAAGTTTTTTAACTTACCAAAATTAAATTCGCATTATTCAGGATAACGTACATGAGAAGATCAAGAAGCGATTCACTGTATATATTATCGTGATAAAATTACTTTTCGGATTCATTGTTTTCATTCCTTCAACTTCTCTACGTAAGTTTTAATAATTTATATAAATATCGCTTCGATCGAATAAACGTTTACTATTAATTACAAGTTTAATATTGTAACGACTGTGGATTTCTACAAATTTCTTTTTTTCTTTTTATTTTTAGTACCCTTATAAAATTGATCAATACAAAATCATAAGATCTTGAGTAATTTTTTTTTCTTTTTTCTTTTTCTTTTCTTTTTCTAATTACACTGTAGATTAGACTGACTCTAATGTTCACATAATTATGCCTCATTATCAATTGTTAATAATACAAGGTGGATACTTCTAGAGTAATTTATCAAATTATAATAAAGAGAGTTGGTGCAAATGATAAAATATTTAGAAATGCCACTTGATGATTAATTAGCTTCTAAAGCAGCACATAATTATAAAACAATAAACGTATTGAAATGTTATGTGCAGTTAATTAAAGGAATTCTTGAGTTTAATATTTATTTTGTATTGCATTTGAAAATACATGATAAATAATACACTTTAGTCGTTGTGCCATATTATCAATATTTAGCATTATTTTATGCTCATAGATGTATTTAATGTAAAAAATTGATTATACACTATTAAATATAGATATTATTTTAGAATATACAGTGAGTGTTAAATTCTTTCATTTTTTAGGATCTTTGAATTTAAATTAGAATAGAATTAATTCTAATGAAAAGAAATAGCGTATTTCTTTATTTATTTTTGATTGATTGATTGATTTGGCTGATTAATTTATTTCTTGGTAATATTTTCACAGGTTGAGGTCTGAGCAAAGAAATACAACAAAAAGTCTATAAAATTTCCTTTTAATAAGTATAATGATTATTGCTGTAATATTGAATTTATTTGGTTAAATTTAACAGCTGCAAATACTGCATATTCTATTTCGTCATCACATTAAACAATAAATATATTCGAGATACGCATCAGATATATAGACCAAAGTAATATAATATAAAAAAAAAAAAAAAAAAAAAAAAAAAAAAAAAATATATAAAAATTAGTTGTTTTTAAAATTAAAATCGAATGTAAAGAGAAGTGAAAATTTCATGATTAAATAAATGAAATTGGCGACCTAGCCCAATTAAAATATTTACTTTCTTACTTTCGAATAAAATTAATTAAAAAAGATAAAATGTAAATGAACTGGATTAAATAGAATGAACTATATATATATTTATGCGCGGGTGTGTTTATGTGTTTTTGCCTGAATTATACTATAGACTAATTGAAAATAAATAATGTCATTGTTTTTATTATGTTTTAAAGAAAGAATTAGACGATAATCCAAAAATACAAATAAATAACTTATTTAAAAATTTGTGTAATATGTCTAGATTTTGTATTTGTAAAGAGACTTATTTACATAAGAAATCATTCGCACGATAACGATCATCTATATATTTTTTATATTTAAAAATATATTCAACGGCAAATTATTATTAAACATTACTTTTTATATTTTTATCTGCACGTATTATATCGGTTTTATAAAGTAAATTAAGGAATAATACCGAATAATACTGATTTTGTGTGCACTTAGATTTCACCAAACCTACTGTTTGTAAGCAGTTTTGTTGTTTCTCGTTACCTTAATATCGAAGTTTAAAGAAAAAATAATATGAGCATGCTTAGTTTCAATTTTCAAAAATAGATAGTGACGTAGATGAAAAAAAAAAAAAAAAAAAGAAAAAAAGTTGTGGCGAATGACAGAGTCCTTATATTTATAAATTATCTTAGATATTTTACTTTATTTTTTTTTTATTTAATCTTAGATTTATAGATTCTAAAATAAACTCGAGCTTTGGCTATATTTTACAATTAACATTAGTTGGACGCTCACATTTTTAACATATTATGTATAAAATTTATTTAAATGTAAATCAAAATGATAATTTCATTTATAATAATAAACAATAAATAACTGTATTATATCCCATTCTCCCTCCCCCCCCCCCATACTTTAGAAATACGAACTAGAATATAAAAATTCCATTTGCCGTGATATTGAAAATATGTTAAGATATATTAGATAATAATATGCCATCAGTGATTCTAATTTATTACTTACAATTATTTCGATATAATCATTCAATTATAATTTTAATTTATCATATATTCTTTTAAAATCGAAACTTACGTGAAAAAGTAGAAGCTATTATATATTTTACTATTGAGTCCAGAAATTATTTTAATATGAATTTACAATTCTGTACACAGGCTAAGACGTTTTACAAACGATTATAGCAGCGATATTATAATTCTGTGATTTTTTTTTGGATATGTAAGACACGTGAAATTACGTCATAGAATAATCATTTACCTACTTTTTTCAACGTATACATTTACACTGTTTTCCCGCCTCGTCTGATTTAATCTTAAGTGTATCAAAAATAGGAAAACCATTTAAAAAAATTGTCTAGTGAGCCGGCTAGTGCTCCGTAATGTCATGAATTTTATTTTGTTTTTTTATCATAAGAATCCATGCTGATTTTCAGTATCGATAAGTCATTTATAAAAAGTGAAGTATATTATTTAATGGCATAGCACTTTTCGCCGCACTTCTATCGAAATTATAATCTAAAGAAACTTGTCAATGGCAATATTAAAATTCAAGTCTGAAAGTACGCAAGTAACATAGAAATTAAGAACAGTGCACGTGCGAGATTGTAAACAAAGCCAAATAAATCATTAATTTATATAAATAGCGATTTTCTGAAATATCATTACGCTTCATGATATTCCAATTGAAATTTCGAAGAATAAGAAAATATATGAATAGTTAATTTGTTTTTCGAAATTCATCCAACCATTAATATAGATAATGGATAATGATTTAACAGTGCCAGGATATTATTATGCCATTGCTGGTGCAGCTAGCGGATGCATTACAAGGTTTATTTGTCAACCTTTGGATGTCGTTAAGATTAGATTTCAGGTATGGACATTGCTCTCGTAATAGGATGAATTTTCTTTAATAAGAAATAATTTGTCTAGCCTTGTCAAACCATATTAACGATAGAACAATAAAAATTACTATGACCTAAGAGCGCTACAGAGTTCATTCGAAGTGTCTGTTGTTTTACCGGCAATAATGGCGTCATTTAAATAATAAATTTTACACATGTGCAATTAAATTCGTATATTCATCAAAGAAGTAATTAACAAGACTTTATTTATCATAAAACATTAAAATAAATGTAACCAAAATTTTTTTTATCAAACTCCTCGTCGTGGTAGAATATGGAATAATATAGAATATGAATATTACGATCACCTTTTTCATATTTTTTGAAACAAAAGATTATTTTTACAAGGTTCCGTTAAGACAATAGTTATAAACATTTGTCAATGTTAATAAATATTTGAAATTTGTAGAAAGTTGCGATAAAATACGTTCGTACAATTTCATTTGATATAACCTAAGCATAATATACAAGACGATAAAATGAATTGGTCTTGCAAAATATCAGTTTTTGTTATTGGCATTGAATTATTAAAATTTAGCATTTTTTTTTTTTTTTTTTTTTTTTTTTTTTTCAATAAATCGACGATAAATACAGTTTTTAATAATGTTTAATAACTGTAAGAATATCATAATGATAATATTGATATATCTTGAAGATATATTTTGAGCTAATTGAAATTGTTTTTTTACAACTACACGTAATTTCCAAATGTTTAATAATATTTGCAATATATTTCGCACATTCGTGGTAATTTTATATATCGATATAAATAAAGTATTAATATACTGAGGCAAAAAACGTTATGTAATAGGTAATAAAATAATCATTTATATTTCATTTGCCCCGTTTAATAATGATTTATTAATATTAATAAATTATTGTTTGATTATGTAAGTAAATGCACGAGTCCATTACCGAAAAATTAAGACCAAAAAGACATATTTGTGTGAATTGAAAAAGTACGTTTGAATAATTACAAGAAGATTTTAATTTACAGTTGCAAGTTGAGCCGATAAAAAGTAGTAGCACAAGTAAATATCATTCAATGAGTCAAACAATCGTGCTCATTACAAAGGAAGAAAATATTTATGCCCTTTGGAAAGGTCATATTCCAGCACAGATGTTGTCTATTGTTTATGGAACTTGTCAAGTATGCACTTTTAACGCGTTCAATTTAATAAATGAATATCTTTCAACGACTTTCTCTTAATATGTTATTTTTATTTTAGTTCTACGTGTACAATATTGTAAATAATCATTTTGCTAGATTTGGCTTTTTAAATGATAAAACAAAATCAATGCACTTGTTGAGTGGTGCTTTGGCAGGTTCGTTTGCTACTTTTGTCACGTTTCCTTTGGATATAGTAAGGACTCGATTAATTGCACAATCGTCTCAAAATCAAGCGTACAATGGAATGTTACATTCCTGCATGTAAGTATCATTATGTAAGTACCTGCATGTATGTAAGCACATGTAAACACTCCATTTTTTAACCGAATAAAATTATATTCGATATTAAGAAATTCATTTTTGAAATAATGAATTGACAATGAATTGAAGAAATCGTTGCATATCAATGTGTGATGATTGTTTACATTTTCCCATAATCGATCGTATATATCTGTAAATTTATAGAAAAATTTATAAGCATGAATCGATGAGAGGTCTTTATCGAGGACTGATACCCGCGTTGATTCAAATAGCACCTCACACAGGTATACAATTCTGGTCGTATGAATTATTAAAGAATATCAATTTCTTGCTAATCAGTCAACCCAAGAAACCAGTAAGTAATTTCGAATATCTAATTTTCAATTAACTCTGAAGTATTGTACATTGCATTTTATGTTCAAATATTACAAATTTTTTTTTTTTTTTTTTTCTTTTCTTTTCTATCATTTATTAAGAATTTCGTAAGAATTAAAATATTTAAAGTACTATAAGATTTGTCAGTATTTTCCTTAGTTTCTTACTACGACCATAAGTATGACTATAATATTTTCATCGCTTTTATTTCGTTAGAATTATACTTTATTATTAATTACAAAAATTATTCATTACAGAATTATCATAATAATGTATCAGTCATAAACAGTTTGATCGCTGGTTGTTTAACTGGTCTGCTGGCAAAAAGCATTGTTTACCCATTGGATTTGGTGAAAAAGCGATTACAGATTCAAGGATTTCAGAAAAGCAGAATAGGCTTTGGCGAATTCTTTCTGTGCAATAGTTTAAGGAGCTGCCTAGTATTGACGGTGAAGAAAGAAGGCATTCAAGGTCTTTTCAAGGGTTTAGTCCCAAGTTTATTTAAAGCCGCCCTTTCGACGGCATTACATTTCACAGTGTATGAACAAATTTTGAACTCGCTAAGAAGTCTTTAACGGTTCACAGATATTATCATTTATACGAATGGAAGAACATTGAACGTTAATTTAAAATTTGTATATAACTTAACAATATTAGTGTATTAATATTTAATGAATGGACGATTCTTAATTGGCGCTGAATATTTTGCCAAAATTTGCTATACTTGTTGTAAATTTACATATCTCTCGAATATTATATGTATTCGCAATATGAAACGAACAATTTATTATCTTCGTCGCATCTTTGTACATATATGAATATTTTTGTGTAAAATAAAAGGATATTTATGTTATTATAAGTAATAGTGTTATTTATAATTGGCCTATTAAAAGGTGCGAAATTTGGGTTTAGGGATCCTGTAGTACTATTATTGTAACAAATTAAGTTTTGTGTAACGTGTGCGAGTAAATTTCTTCCGTCGACAAGTCGGTCAACAACTGCAAGGGCCATAAACTTTTCATAATTGCTATAAGGATTACACCAATGAACGCATAATGTCAAACAATTAAGTCGAAGAGTGCGTAGGCGGGCAATTTAATAAAGTAAATTTTATGATTATAAAAAATTAAGCGAGAGTAAGTATTGGGCGCGCAGGTACATTGGAAATAAGTAATTACGATGTTTATTAATGAGGGCAATGGATTGATTCGAGTCCGGCCGCCTCACCAAGCAATTATTACCGCGTAGCAGGTAAATCTGTCGGGGAGAGATAAAGTGGCCGTCAAGGATTGCACGTCAAATAGTATTAACGATACACATTTTGTTAAGAGAGACGTAAAAACTTAATTGATTAAACAGCCAAAGCGAATAGCGGTGTTAAAGCGCTAGGTTATCCAGCAGTAACGGCTGTTACTCAAATTTTTCTCCGTTGTTCTCTAGGTAAAAGACACGGTCGGTAAAATACGAGGTAAACAATGGGGTAATATTAATCGCGCAATAGGTGTGGGCGTTGAGGGCTCGACCGCTGGATCATGCGAAAAAATTGCCCGAAAACGGGAGCTGTCGCTCGTACTCTCGTTAGCGGAGCTCCGCGGACTCGAGACCCCGATCGTCCGCGTCACCGGAGTCGAGGCGGCGGGCCCATTGGGCCCCGGGCTTCATTTACGAAAAAGTAAAAAATTCCCGATCTAGGTACGTCGCTGGTCAGGGGTAAGCGGGCCGTTCGAAACCGAGCCAATGGCCGAGCAGCCGGTGTCGGCCGCCCGTCTCCGACGTCCGGGTAATCTTACGGCCCTGGCCGTTAGCGGATTCGTCCGATTTCGCCCGAGTGCCGGCGACGCCGCGTCCATTTTGGCCGAAATAAGCGACGGATCCCGCCTCGTCGACGCCGGTGCAAGCTATTCCCCTTCGCAGTAAGTTCTTCGATAATCTCGAGGCTGTGTTGCACTTGTTACACGTACGCACGACGCGGTGTGATTTCGTTCCCGCATATAGGTATCCCCATTATCATTATTATCATTATCATTATCATTATCATAATCATTATCATTATCATTATCATTATTATTATCATTATTGTTATTGTTATTGTTATTATTATTATTCTTATTATTATTATTATTATTATTATTATTATTATTATTATCATTATTACCATCATCGTCATCATCATAATCATCATTGTCATCATCATCATTATCATTATTATTGTTATTGTTACTATTATTGTCGTCGTTGTCGTCGTCGTCGTCGTCGTCGTCGTCGTCGTCGTAGTCGTCGTCGTCGTCGTTGTTTTTTTATTTTTTATTTTTTTATTTTTTATTTTTTATTAATAAAAGGCTCGTTTGATGTTCGGCGGTGCCCGCCCTTTCTTCTTTAATCGTGCCGCGCGACGCAGGTGTCTCGTATGTTATTTGGTACGCCTCGTTGGGAAACCGGGCAGGGACATCAGAAAAGCGCGCCATTGGATTTCCTCTCGTTTCGTTAGGTTTGTTCGGCGGCGAATTTTACTTTGTGTGCGTGCCCGTATTGCCGTATTGCCGTATTGCCTCGGGTTTTCGTATACGACGGCGTGTGCAGCTCTCGTACCGCAAGGCGCGCGTAGGTCACACTTAAGGTTTCGTCTACAGTCGGTATCTTGGGTTGTGCACGGCGGATAATCTTCCGCACCATGTGCTTTCCTTGATTAATTGCCCTTTCAAATTTTCAGACTTTTCGTCCAGGCTGCTTTTCTTCGTACCTTTGTATTGCAATGGCTCGTTCGCAACTTGGGCCCTTCGGCATTATGAACAAATTGATATTTGAAAGTATCTCTGAGCGTTACGGTAGCGTGTCGTTTTTTCCTCTTTCTTTCTTTCTTTCGTTATTTTGTGTCTTTGATTCTTGCTTAATAATAAGTGCCTCGCGTCTTTATTAACAACATGACTATTGAAGCAAAATTCGATTACCATTTTACAAGACAAATTTCGGGATATATTCATTGGCTGGTAGGAACATACTACTATTGAAATCGAAATGTATTCTTCCTCTGTTTTTTAAATTCTCCTTCAGATAAATGTAAAAAAGTTATTTTTTTGATATTATGTGCATGTACATATGCGTGCGTACGTGCGTGTACGTATATTCATGCACATTATGAACAAACTTAATAATAAGCACTTTAAAGTAACATTGTTAAACTAACCGAATTCAAACAAAGTTATCCTGTAGTTCGAAAATTTGAAAATTTGAATTTCTTATGGTGTATTAAAAAAAATAATTGTAATTAAACATATATATTTGAGTCTTAAAGAGTCGAAAGTTCAAAATTTAATCAAAAGTTTGTTTCTTCAGTTTTCTATTTATTTTCTATTACTTTTAATCAAATAAGAGAAACTTTGAGTAGTTCATATATATCATTTTATCATTAAGAATTGTTTATTCATAAATTTCATATATCAGTCATATTTAATGAGCTCGGCTTTTTTCGTGCAATGTCATATTTAATTTTTTTATTCCGTTTAAATGTTTGTTCTAGGCTTTTATACTGAAAAATTTAACAAAGGACTAAGATGGCAGATTTACAGGGAGTAACTGTAACGCAGGATGCCTTATCCGTGGCTCAACTGGAGCTCGGTGGTAATCCCAATGCCCTTGCGCTTCGTAGGCCTTTCGATCCGGCTGCTCATGACCTGGACGCAACCTTCCGCTTAACGCGGTTCGCCGACTTAAAAGGATGAGGGTGCAAGGTCCCTCAGGAGATTCTTGGTAAACTCCTTGAGGGACTGCAGGCTGACGATGGTGGTGCCCAGGATCATGAGCATGCCCACTTTATGCATATGGCCACGCCACGCATCGGTACGCTTATTTCTTTTCTTACTATTTACTTTATAAATTTCTACGCTTCTTTCGATGCAAGTTCTTTGGTAAAATAATATATTAGAAAATAGTTTCTAATCATTAAATTTACTAATAAGCTTAAAAGAATATCTTGATAATTGTTAATTTATAAAAATAAAAAAACTTGTCTTCCCATTATGGAAATACATAACAAATGCAATATAGTATCAAATATTTATATTATCATTTATTGGAAAAAACTTGACTTATAGGCATTGGTATGGATTCCTCTGTAACTCCACTGAGACACGGTGGGCTGAGCTTAGTTCAAACAACAGACTTTTTTTATCCACTTGTCGATGATCCATATATGATGGGTGAGCTAAAAATCAAATATTTATATCGATGACATAATTTGATTATACTTTATTATAATTTTATTTCACTATATTAGATAAAAATTTTTTTTTTTTATTTATTTTTTACCTATAAACGTTTATATTCAAATGGCTTATTAAAGGGATAAAACAAAAAATAATTGTTTTCAGGGAAAATTGCCTGTGCCAATGTAGTTAGTGATCTTTATGCTATGGGCGTAACGGAATGCGATAACATGCTAATGTTGTTGGGAGTAAGTACGAAAATGACTGAGAAGGAAAGAGACGTAGTTGTTCCACTGATAATGAGAGGATTTAAGGACTCCGCTTTGGAAGCTGGAACAACGGTCACAGGTGGTCAAACAGTTGTAAATCCATGGTGCACCATTGGTGGTGTGGCTACGACGGTCTGTCAACCAAACGAATATATAGTGTAAGTGTGTTTTGCAGTATTCATTAAGGGATCTAATTTTATTGTATAATTGAAAAAGTTGTAATGCTTTTTCATGGTTTATAAGACATTTTAAATATAGATTGTTATTAGATTTCTTATTTATAATTTATATATAATTGAATAAAGAGAAATCATGAATTACACATTTTCGCAATTACTTTTATTTATTCATAGCCCAGATAATGCAGTAGTAGGAGATGTATTAGTATTAACAAAACCCCTTGGTACGCAAGTGGCTGTTAATGCACATCAGTGGCTGGACCAACCGGATCGTTGGAATCGTATAAAACTTGTAGTTAGCGAGGATGACGTTCGTAAGGCTTATCAACGTGCAATGGACAGTATGGCTAGACTCAACAGAATAGGTTTGTAATTAATTTTTGATGTTCTTAAGAAAAGTAAGTAGTTGAATTTTAATTGTTTATCTTATTTATTTACTTTATTTGTTTAATTACTTTATTTTTATTATACATTTAAATGAATTTTATCTACGATTGATATTCGAAATTTTTTTGGTATAATATTAATAATAATAGTATTTAATAGTTTTTAATTGATAATATTATCTTGTATTTTTATTTACGAAATTTTAAATTACTTATGTAGTCTGTATGTACATATTATCAAATGTAAAAATGTTAGCTTATCGAATTAATATTAAAAATGATGATATAAAATTATTATTAAATAAGTCTTTTCCAGATCAGTTTTCCAGATTCAGTTTATAAAATAGGAGCTTGTAAATAATCCAAAATTACTCTGTCAAATAATTTAGTTTCATCTGCATCATTTTATGGACTACGAAAATTATCTTATTAAAATAGAGCAATTTCTAATCTTTTTTTTGTTTTTTTGTTTTTTTGTTTTTTTTTTTTATTTTTACCAAGATTTCCAATATATAATTTATTAGTTGGCTAAATATATTATTCTTAAATTGAAAGAAACAAAATGTTCAAGAAGCATTTTATTTTTTTTATTATAATATTAAAACTAATGTGCTTTATTTTCTATGTAGTAATTGTATAGAGGCATTTAAAAATCAATGCATAGCTCGAAGCATTTCATATCAATTTTTTATTAATATGTTAATAATAGAAGGTGAAGTATCCAAGCAATTTAAATATAACTATTTTACCATTTTATAATACAAGGTGTAAATTATTTTATATTATTTATAAAATCCTACTACAACGTACAACTCAATAAAGTGATTAATCGTTACAGGGTAGTGTTTTCTTTTTTCTTTTCTTTTTATTATTAATTATTGAAACGAATTTTATATTTATAAAAAGTATTCAGAATCTTTTGTGTATAACTAATATTATGTAATTATCGATCGTATTTCCCTCGCGTGGCTCAATTTTTCTTGTGCTAATTAATATCGGCATCATTAGGAATGCATAACGTAGAAATACAATATAATAGAATATAAATGATTTTGCAGCTGCGCGTTTAATGCACAAATACAATGCTCATGGCGCTACGGATGTCACCGGATTTGGGTTGTTAGGTCATGCCCAAAATTTGGCAAAGCATCAAAAGAACGAGGTGTCCTTCGTCATTCATAATCTCCCAGTCATTGCAAAGATGGCTGCTGTCGCAAAAGCTTGTGGTAATATGTTTCAGCTTTTGCAAGGACACTCCGCCGAGACAAGTGGCGGTCTTCTTATCTGCTTACCTCGAGAGCAGGTTAATAGACCAGTTACAATTGTTGAAAAGATACTGTGATAATTAGACGAAGAAAATATATCTAATTGATTGATATATTTTTGTATAACAAATGACAAAAGTAATATATTCTATTTTCTCGTCCCGCTGTTGTACGTTAAAGATATAAAATAAAAGATAACATTACTAATAATACTTCAAAGTAGTAATCAAATTTTACAAGTTAACAAGAATAATTATAATTATAATACAAGAACAATATTTTTAATGTTCAAAATTATTCTGAATTTATATATAAACGTAAAATATTCGAATATAATTTTGTTAAAAAGTTAGTTTTTTGAAAGATTTTTCAAACAAATTTTATTGCAAAAAAGAAATCACGAAGTAATTGTTTTGATCATCTATTTATTCCATAATAAAAAAATTATCACAAAATTAATATATATATATATAATGCAAATGCACAGGTCTAAACGATTATAATTTTTCTTTGTAGGCTGCAGCATATTGTAAAGATATTGAAAAACAAGAAGGTTATCAGGCCTGGATCATTGGTATTGTTGAAAAAGGTAATCGTTCAGCGCGAATAATCGACAAACCGCGAGTAATTGAAGTACCAGCAAAGGAAAAGGATGGAGAGCTCTGGTAATTAAAGACAAATGAGGACAGCTATGCCATTCCCGTACGAAAGAGAAACCTTCATGTTTATTTTTTCTTTTTAAATTTTTTATATCCATTCTGCATAATTGTCAAAAATTGTTCTTTTTGTCTTCGTTTTATTTTTTTTTTTTGTTTTTTTTTCTTTATTTTTAAATAAAATATAAAAATTATTGAAAAGTTTTTTGGTAATATTTTATAAATATGTTTGTTTTACTATAATTGTAAAATCAAAGATGTTCTGTAATTTTTCTATAACTCCCTTATCATTTCATTCTGTTAAACTAGTTCATTCAATGAATGTAGTACATGAGGATATAGATTTTTTTTTATTGCGAATATCCTGGCTGATGTTTAAGTGAAAATGGAGAACTGATTAGTGGTGAAAAAAGGAAGGGAAAAGTAAATAAAAACGTTAATATTTCCTAGGTCTTCCTGTTATGTTCACGTATCAAATTCCACAAAAGTGTCTTTCTACAGTGAACAATGCATATTTAGTTATAAGAAAAACTAGAAAAATTAAATTGAAAAATATGTATTTTTCAAAGTAATTTCCTTTTGCTAAACGAAACAACTAGATATTTAATTAATTTTAATGTTAATTTTTTCTTCGTAATAATTTAGGTGAAATTTTTTTTTTTTTTTTAATAAGTTTGATGCACATGCTCTATACAGTCTATTATTATGGATGGGTAAATAATAATTTTTATCAAATCCATTATCTCATCCTTAAGATTCTGTATAATATTTCATTGCAAAAAAGCAATATAAATTTAAAATCTTAAATTTTTCTTATATTTTGGTTTCATTAATTTTTATCAATTTTTCAATTCAAGTTGAGATTTGTAAAGCAGGTGGACCTAGTTCCTAACGTTGTATTAGTTTTTCATATGAATAAAATACTACTTTGTCAATAAATTGATTTTTTTTTATTTTCCATACATTAAATCAAATTAATTAAATTGCTTTAAAAACCGAATAATTTATAAATTTTATTCATAATCAGATTATGAAAATTGTTTTGTAAGATATCAATCATGTTGCAACTATGTATTGTTTATGATGTTATCAACAAATTTTGAGTAAATTGCAAAACTAAATTTGTTTTAAATGCATTTAAAATAAAAATTAAGTTACCTAATTAATTAAAATCATCGATTTTTAGTTTTGAATAATGAGAGTCTAGCGTCGTTTTTTATCTTTGTATTGAGATTATCATACAATTAGTTTTTTTCTATCTATATATTTTTACTAAAAAAAATTTGCATTTTTAACATGTCGAAAATTCGGAATTACAGTGTGTCGTTTTATTATAATTTTGTTTTATTATGTTTATATTTTATTATATTTAAAAATTTTATTATAATTAAAAAATTTCAAATCATTTTAGTAAAATTCAAATCGATAGATAATAAAATAACGAATTTATTACTCTATTATTAAACTTTACTAAATATAATGACAAGAAAAAAAAAAAAAAAAATTATGTAGAAAATTAGATTAAAGTAATAAAATTATAATTTGTTCAAAAAGCTTTTAAAGCAATCTAAGATGTTTTTCTGCCGAACGATATGTTTAAATGACATTAGGTATTTCCTAAATAATTTAAATGATTAATTAAAAAATGAATTTCATTAAGTAAACGGTTCAGCTAAAATTGCGCGTAAATTATATTTTTTATTAATTATTGTATAAAGTATTACATAAAAATACAAAATTTTCCCGTAGCAAATACTTAAATTAATATAATTTATACTTCGATCAATCATCAAAATATCTTTATACGTGTGATTTATTGTTTTCATTCTTCCATTATTCGCGCTCTATAGCTATAATTAATATGGACTGGCCACGTTGCAATTGCACGTTAACACCTACGCACACACACACACATATATATATAAATATATGTAGTTATATACGATTGTGAATTTTCGGGAATACGCGTAGTTACATAAGGATATAGAAATTTGTTAAATTAAATCCACTAGTCGCAAGAAATAATTAAAGTATAAATATGAAGTTATTCGAAACGGTTTAACTTTAACTTTTTAAATAAAAAGTCATAAGCTAGTTACATCGTTATAATTGTAAGAGATGCAATATTTATCGAGCATTCAAATAAAAGAATCGAAATCGAATGTTCTAACCTCAAAATTCGTCAATTTTGTATTAATTTACTTTATGGCTTTTATAATTTAATGTATTAAATAATATGTGTACTGTTTCATTTAAATTGTTGGAGTATTAATTGTATAAATAATTCTTTTGTATGTGCTTATTTGATTATTAGTCGTAAGAATTTTGTGATAAAGTAAAAAATGTTAAAAGCGATTTTCACTAACTGTTCGATCTCTTGGTTTTACGCTGTAAATTCTTTATTTGCGAAAAAAGAAATCTATAATGTCATATCGTTATAGTTTCGTTCTTTCACAGATCGCAGTAGCAAAGCTCAAACTATATCTTTACTTTGTTCCTTTACTACTTAGTAGTCAAATTAGAAAAGTCGCAGTAAGTAAGAAGTATTGGAAAGTTTATTCAATATTTATTACAATAAAATTTTATATCGCAATATTATATATATATATATATATATACATATAACACTAATCATTCGGATGAAAAGAATTGGGTAACGTTTAAAAATTAATTTACTCATTAGCATGATAAACCGTTATAAACATAATAATACAATGATGCCTTAATAATACAAAATTTGAAGAAACTTATTATTCTACATTGTACGGTAGATTGACCACTTGACGAATCAAGTTTAAAAAAATTTGGAATACATTTTTAAAAGTGTACATATATTAACATATATAACTTTATAATTCAAATTATCTAAAAATCTTATTTCGAATTCCAAATCCAAAATTAACGCGTAATGAAAATTCATGAATTAAAAAATTGAAATTAAGTTAATATTTTATTTCGAATTTTTTTTTTTATTAATAACACTCCCCCAACGTGATTTTATTATTTGAATGAAAATAATCTAATAATAATTAAATTGATAAAAAAAAAAATAATAATAATAATAAAATGAACATAATAATATAACTATTAAGTATTCAATTAATTCCTAGAGAAGATAATACATTATTTCTATATCTAGTCTAAATAGTTATAATATAAAATAATTGCTTTAAGCACAATGAATTTGGTTATTAACGATAAACAGCTTAAAGATAGTTATTCGTTTATTCGATTCGCATGCTCGTAATAAGATAATTTAATTCCAGGTTAAATACACTAATCATGGAATGAAACCTTAAGAGTTAAAAAATCTAAGCATGCATTCGATGGAAATCATTGGGCTAGTCATCATTGTGACTGCATGGTGCATCAATGACTGCATCGTACATTATAAATCATCGTCGAAATACTATGTTTTTTATTCGTTCATTCAGTAAGTCCAACTGGTTTCGCGTCACAGAGATTTCGCACGATCGCTTTGATGTTTATTTTTATCTTTATTATTTGCGTGTTTCAGTTAATTTGTGTAAAAGCCCGTTAGTTGCTTTAGTCACTTTTCTGTTGGCCATTAGTATTAAAATTTAAACAAAATTCATTTTCATGTAGTATCTGTTGAATTTAAAAGTCTAAATTGCCTGAGACTTACGTCACTCAATAATCAAAGTTAGAAAAAAGCAAATTAAAAATTTTATGTTATTCTGAAATATTTTATTTGTCTCGTATTTTTCATTGTACCCGCAGTACTATAAATATAAAATAATTATAATTATTATTAGTAACGAACGTTTGTATTTATTTTAATATCATAAATAAAACATTATAACATTGAATTTTTAATATAAGTAAAAATTGTAGAAGTTTTTTTTATCTTTCTTAACACAATACGAGTTAATATTAATATGTATTTATATTAATATTTACAAGAAACAAAAAATGTTCATTATCATCTCATTTACAATGCACGATTAATATTTATAACATATATATTATATCTATATTTAAACATATAAGCATAGATCAAATATATTAGCTGGAAAATTTTATATTATAAGAAATAATAAGTGTACAGTTAAAAACATTAAATTTTATATGAAATATTTCCCCATATATCACGTAATTATTTATTTTACAAAATGATTTTTATTTGACTTGTACTGATTAATATACATAAAATAGTGAACACTCGTTTTTTTTTTTTTTTTTAAATATTTGATCATATGAGAAGGTCAAATAAAAATGAGATTCATAAGCAATAAACAGACTGAGTTTTTCATTTTTCACCACATTTATACAAAAATAATCATTCGAACATACATTTTTACTGTTGCTTCAGCTTTCCAAATGAAAAGTATACAAAGTTTTATTATATTCATTATACTAGTAATGATATTTATATGAATATTATTAATGTATAATGTTATTAATACATATTTTGTAAATCTTTATATAAAATTATGTCTGTTTTACATCGTGTAACAATATTTTTATTTTAAGTTAATAATCAAAATAATATCAATAAAAAAATAATGTTTATTACTCCATTTGAATAAAATCAATTAATTAACATAAAAAAAAAAAAAACAATAATAATAATATAAAATACTTGTTTTGGAATAGAAATTTTTTTCTTTTTAATAAATTAAAAAGCCTTGCAAGCAATTTTAATAATATTTTAATTTATTTTATTTACTATGTATGTATTTATTTACCATGTAATGAAATGAGAGGGAATATTTATAAAAGCATTGTTTTTATATAAAGAAAAATTTCACTTGAGCTACAGTAATTACAGTTCATGGCTCGTAAGAATATTAGTTCGGTGTTAACAACTTGAACTTTGATAAATAAAAGATATTTAAAATACTTAATACGTGTTCTTGATCTTGATTATAAAGTCACGAACTTTGTCCTTTTTCCGCAAGAGAATTTGTTCATCAGCATATCACAAATAAAGTGATGCTTGCATTATTTTAAATAGAATGATGAGATTTGAACGAATTCTGTCATATTTCTAAAGTGTAAATGGCTGAATAGTTAATTTCATTGTTAGGATTTGAAATACTACGCGTAAGCGCGACTTTTGTGATTTATGTAAAGTAGAAATTAAATCAACGTGATACAACGTGCAATAAATTTCTGTATCCTATATTTATATACTCGAAGCTATTATTATATGCACATTATTGTTATTATAAACTGTAAAGAATTATGATTTTTATGGCTCATTTCCTTTTTAAGGTACTTTCGTTTTCTATTAGTTAATACACTGCTTTCAAAAATTCAGCTGATTCTGTGTAATGTGACTCTTTTTTATTGCAATTATAAAGCGTTCATACATTAGTTATACTAACAAAAATTACGATTAAATATTTATTTATCTTCATATATGGATGTCGAAATAGTTCAAGAGTTCAACGATAAAAATAATAAAGAAATCTATGACTTCTTTAAAGGTTAAACACCACAAAATTGTACACTAGTGTTTTTTTTCTTCTTACATATTGATTTCGGATATTAATTAGGTATTCGCAATAAATACACTTAAATATCCGTAACAACTTGGTAAAATTTTTAATTCACAATATTTTACTATTAGTGATATTAAATTATATTGTAATACAATTTTATCATAGTAATAGGTAATTGTATTTTAAAAATTTTAATACGTAAAATAATAACACGTAATCCATGTTTTAATAACACATATGCAACGATTTTTATTGTTGTATATGTAAGTAAACATCATTATTTTTTTACAGCCAACTACATTAATTTTTTAATTTATCGCACGCGTCCAATTGTATGTTAAAACAATTTTTGTTATGCTAATCTGTATCACGTGTTTATAAGCATAAGTAATGGCAAATGATAATTTCTAATCTTAAAATATTTATATATTTATTAATTTATTAATTAGAAATACTATGTAGGTAAGTTATACTTAAATTGAAATACTTAATTAAATTCGCGTGAATCTTTGTTGTCTTGTGTATACCTTTTAAATATTCATTATGTAACAAATTATTAGTTCTATAAGCTTTGTAATAATATTCTTACTTTTCATAATATACACCATTAGATTATGATTCTGTTCATGGAAAATTTTGAAGTGAATAAAATATCTTTTATTTAATATATAAAGTTTTTAGGCATTATATAAATATAATAATAATTATATAAATATGCAGTTTTTACTTCTCTTAAAATAAGTTTTTCTTTTAAGCAAGATATTCTTTTTCTGCTTTGTTAAATCTACTTAGATTTTCAAAGAACAAAATTTATAATATCAGTACAATAAATAAGTATGAATTTGCTAAATGACTCTAATCACATACATAGAGATATAAACAAAAATATTTTATCAAGATTAACTTATTTCGAATTATTATTTATATTATATATTACATGATTCGATCTTGAAATCTAATTTCACTTTTTAATTAATTTCGCTGGATAAAGAATAGACCAAAAAATAAGTTGTTTCCTCTTATGAATCAGATAATACTAGGTTTATGAAAGCAATCGATTTTTTTTACCGAATATTTTTTATCATAATATGATTATTAGATAATCATTTAAATAGAGGAGTTTTATTCCAGTCGATTGATTTAAGTAAAGAAAAAGTCATAGATTCATCATTATTAAGACAATTTGTATCGAAGACAGCGATAAATATGTAAAATATGTAATAATCTTAGTTCAATGTCATTCAGAAAAAAATGATTGTTTTATTGATTTTGCAAATAAAAATAAATTATTGAAATATAAATACATGCGAACACAAGCTAATTTTAATTAGTGAATTAAATATAAATAAATATATAATGTAATATATAATTAATACAAATTAGCGCCTAATTGTGTTATCTAATTTTTACTAACATTTTACTCAAGCTTAGTACAATTTAAAAAATTATATTGATTTGATTTATTATATAAGCTATATAATGTATCATTTATAAATAAAATATAAAGTATTTATTTTATCCAAAGATCAAACAACAATTTGAAAGTGAGTCAAATTGAAAATAACGAGGTGAACATTTTAAGAAAATTATACGTGCTACGAGGATCTAAAGGTAGCTGAGATATGGTGGCCATAACAAATCGCTTAAGCAAAGCTGCCCAGGTGGCATTTAAGGCTGTGATACTGGGTGCCCCAGGTTCTGGAAAGGGTACCATATCATCTCGCATCGTCAAGCAATTCAATGTCAATCACATTTCGAGCGGTGATAAGCTTAGGTTCCATATTGCTAATAAGACAAGTAAGTTAATTGATTGATTAGATTAATAGGTTATTATTATAACGATTGTTAGCATTGCTCATTAGGAATATCGTATTGTATATAAATTTAAAATTAATTTGGCGGGAATATAGTCAAGAATCTGTATTTATATTATATGCAAATTTTAATTGACTTTACAACGATAGTTAACATAATGTTATGGTTTCATAAATTTTAATTATACCACCAATCATGGACAATAAGAGTTTATAGAAATTTTGTGATATTAAACGGTGAAATTATTAGAAAAATATTAGATAAATCATAGTGAAATAAATACTAATAGCATCGTGAAAGCTAATAAATATTTTGAAATTCTTTACTTACTTTTTAGTGCTCGGCAAAGAAGTACAAAGATATTTGGAATCCGGGGGTCTTGTCCCAGATGAGACGATGATTGCTCTTATAAGTACGGAAATTGTACATATCGACAATCATAATTGGCTATTAGACGGTGAGATTTTTTCATTTATTATTTTATATTTTGTCTATAATTTACTTTTACATTATCATTTAATACGCATGATCGATAAATGTGCAAATCAATTTTAATGAATTTGTGTTATATCACTTTTTTCTGAATGAATTCTTACTTTTGCAAATGTTAATTTATCTATGATTTAAACGAAAATATAAATGGAAATTAAGTATTTATCAATATAAAGAATACAAATCTTATTGATCAATCGTTCAATCGTTTTATATTGTCGAACAGGATTTCCGAGGACTGTAGCCCAAGCCGAAGCATTGCAAAAAATCCATCCTGTATCCTTAGTGATCAACGTTGATGTACCTGATTCTGTGATTATAGAAAGAATTAAAAATCGTTGGATACATTTACCCAGCGGTAGAGTTTACAATGTTGGCTTTAATGATCCGAAAGTGCCGGTGAGAAAAATCATCGTTTACTCTGCATTTCAAGTCTCATATTCATTTACTTTTCATTTTATTAATTCTTCTAATCATTAAAATAGTAAAATATACAAACAGTGACAAAAACAACATAAAGAATAAAAATAACAAATAATGATTAAGCGTTAGCGCGATAAAAATGTCACATAGTATATTGAGAAAGTGCGATTGACACAAATTAGCAAAAATCTATTTAAAAGAATAGTAATTAAAATAATACAAGGTGTTACTTTAATATCGAAATGATTTTCGTGCTCTACCTATATTACCAAATATCAAAAAGTTATTAAAATTATAAAAAAACATTTAATTTATAAATCTATTTAGTAGAATATAGCTTTTAAATGTTATTATTACCCAATACTGTTAAGAGGTAGTATAATTTTATAAAACAGCTGAAAATATACGACTTTGTCTTTAATTAAAATATTTATATTAATTATTAAATTTAACACTTATAACAGGGAAAGGACGATGTAACTGGCGAGCCTTTAAGTCAACGTCCTGATGACCGACCGGAAATAGTTCAAGCAAGGCTTCGTGAATATGCATCAAAGACAAAACCAGTCATTGATTATTATAAGAAGCGAAATATTCTCAAATCATTTGTTGGTAAAACGACAGACAGTATATGGCCAGATATCCAGATATACGCAAAAAAACACTTATAGTACTTCTGTCACTTTATATAAAATCGGTAATATTTTTTTAATGTCTACATTTTTATGCAACATTTTATCACTAAAATTTTTTATATTTAACTGTGATATCGTGTGCGATTAGGTTTAATATAAAAATTGTAAAACATATGCTCATATTACTTTATTTACCGCTGTTAATCAGCTTATGTACGTACATTTTGAGCTTAATTTTATACAAATAATATTTTATTATGAATGTTGTTAATGGAAATGAATTTTTATGCAATACAAGAAAATTATTTTCGTACCTAATTAATGCTATACATGAACTATTTATATAAAACTTATTAAATAAATAAATTAATAATATGTATGTGATAATTAATTATGTGGTAATTAATTATTAAATGTCATGTACATTAGCTCAAAATATTGTGTATTGAATGAAATTTATTATATCTTAATTGTTAATGGTTGAAAACAATTTATTAGACAATTAAATGCGATAGTTCAATAAAGAGCCAAACACTTGAGTTTACGAAAGAATTGTTAATTCCCAAGATGGTAAATTTGCGCCATATTGTTTATTATATTATGATTTTGTCATATTGGGACAATAATTATAAAAATATATTATACGTATGTTAAAATCATCAACAATAAATTTTATAACGTAGCCAACTGAATGTGGAATTAAATGTATAAGTAAATATTTTGTAAATTTGTAACAAAAACTGTCTAAATAATATTTTCATTCTTTAAATTGTGGATTATTTTTTTTATTAAATAAAATATAATTTCCTAAAATTCTCTTAAAGTTTTTTTAACCTAGAGTAATGATAATATACATTTTTAGAATTAGTGTATCAAACTATAATAGTTATGGAAAACTAAAACTTTGAAATAACTTATTATTCTTTAAAATTGATGAAATTATATATATTATATATATTATATTATTATATTACATATCTTACAAATATATATATATATATATATATATATATATATATATATATATATATATGTATTATTAATAAATAAGTTATCTTTTATAAATATAACATTTATTTCACATACAAATATAGAGAAATCGAGCCTTGAATTACTGTAAATTCGTCAAATATAGGCTGACCAGCATTTTCTGTACATTTTCTGATTATTATCTCCTTGAATTATTACATCGCCAAAATCATAGCTACCAACGTTATTTAGGGCGTTTTATACGAAAATGTTATAAGCAATCTTTGATTACCTTATATGAATGATTGAAAATAATTATTTTTATTGGTTAATTAAACAGTATTTATTTCTTGAACATTAAATCATCACATTCGTAATATATGTTTTTGCATACAAATCCATAATTGAACCTTGTTTACTTTACTAAAATAATTAAACTTAGTTTTATAATATTACAATTTTAACATCTACTACAATATAAATGAATTATCATTGATTACTGAAATTTATTATATTAATTTTAAATACAATTGTAATATGAGTATAAAAAATATTAATAAATTTTGTAAATTAGTGCTTGACTTCTATTAAACGTAGAATATATTTTAAATAAAATTATAAATGAATAAGATTTTAATTTCGCAGTAATTATTATGGTATTTATATAAATTTTTTATCTTTAATTATTTGAAAAATCAGTTGATGGCCATAGTATTCCCTCTTTAGAAAAATATTAAAAAATATGCTCAACAACTAGGATTTCACTACAATGGCACTAATATTGTATTTTTAAAGATTAGTCATTTCAAAATATTATAATTAAGAGTAAACGTTTGAAAAATATTAAAGCGTTATTAAATCGACCATAAATTTATGATATGACGTATGCAAAAATGTATTATGACCATTCTTAATTAGAATATATTGAATTATAGAATTAAAATTACGGCATCGTTTACATTGTACAAAGTATTTTTATAATACACGTTATAAATTAACACAATAATCATATTAAAATATTATCAAATTAAAAGATTCTTTTTTTTTTTTTCAAATAAAACTTGCAGAAAATATTTAACACAATAACAAACACAAGTTATACTGCATAACAAAAATGGTCATAGTTACATAATGTACAAATAACTTTAATGAAAAATACGGGCTTTCCTCTCTTATTTTCCATTGTTGCAAACCTTAAAGTCCAATGTTAAAAATAGCGTTTGCTCGTATATCTGCGTAAAGTTTCATTCCTTAGCTAAATCAATTCTTAGATCGGAGAACATACGTCAAGCGTAGTATATGGCCACTTGAACGTCACAAGGCGACACGTTTAACGTGATAGCGAGTGCATTACAATAGTAAATTGCAGGTATGGTATGAAGCTGCAAAAATGAGTATAATATAATCAAGCTAATTATATTTTTGAAAAGTGAAGAGACGCAAAGTCGCTAATACGAGATCCTCTAATGGACGTGAAAAGTTTGAAGATGACGATTGCTACACTCTGCACGTGCCCGTAGCTTTAACCTTGACTTGAGTTACACGCAAATCGGATTTTCCATTCCATCTTCGTTCGTCGCCAACTATTCGCCATTTATCTTATCCGACATGAATATCCGGTACTTGCATTGGAATGGCAATGGTTCTGGATTACCTGCTCAGCTCCAGTGTAGCTCAATATGGCTATACGCTAGCTCGAGTTTTGATAATTTATTATGATAATCTCATCTGATAAGCATTTTGAATGGCGGATGTGAAGGAGGGAACATTATTCATAAAAGACATCCTATAAATAATATCTATATTCGTTTATATATAATATAAACGTAATCTCCCAATTGTTAAAGTACTAAGCTTTTTCATGTGATTCATTTTGTAAAAGAATTCTTTAAAAATGTTATTAAATGATGAATTGAATTTTGGATGCCGATGTATAATTCGACTGTTAAATAAATATTATTAAACTTTTTTTAATTATAAATACCAAAAGCAATGATCGTGATATGAATTATGAAAATGAATAATGAACACGATAAAAAATTAACAATTTCTTTTAAATTAAGATTTTGCCATTCAAAATATACCTCTATCTACTTAATTTTGCTTGTATATGTGAGTCTAATCGTTTGGCTTTATAATTTTAGCTTGATATCTACGTAGGGAATGTCTAGGTAGTAAATTAAACGAATACAGCCTATTTTAGTATTCGATTTAGTATTTTGTAATTATGGTCGAAAGAATTCGATTGCTTCTGCATTATATGCTTTTAACGAATACATAATCAATTTTGAAAAGTCACAACTATCTTGCTTGAAGTTACTTCGTGCCGGAATTTTGAAACTGATTAAGCACGAAGTTATATTTTCTTTATCTTATTTAAAATATTAATTTAAAATTTATTCGATTTACCGACAAATCTTGAGATTAGTTTAAAAATAAAGTTGAATTGAATGAAATTTGAATAAAATAAATCATGTTTAAGTTAAAGACTATCAAATAACAATTTGATAAATATTGTGTGCATAGTATCTGTTGACACGATGCTGATTTTTTATTATGATTTTTTGTTTCGAAATTATTCGATTAAAATTATTGAATTAAACACGTGTCATATGATGCTGTAGCATGAACATTAACATCCAATTATAAATTTATGCCAAATATCTATTACATAAATTTAATTAGTAAATTTAAATAACAATGCTAGGTTATACAACTCGAGTTCAAATCAATTAGAAAATGTTTGTAAATACTATTTAATTGTCACCGCATAACGCGCGCGCACTCACACATGCGCACGCATATATACGTTAAAATATATGTTACTACTCTATATTCAATAAAAATAAGTTACCAAACAATGCAAATATATAAATGTTATCGTTTGATTACGAAATATTCAGATGATATTGTTTTCTTTGTTGTGAAATATATTATAAATAAAAAAAAGGATAATTGAAATAATAAATATTAAATATATAAATAATAAATATATATATATATATATATATATATATATATATATATATAACGTGCCATTTATATTTATTGAAGCGCATGGAGTATTGTCAATGAAAATGATTGGTTCACGTATTAATAATTAATTTTCAATAATACAGAAAATTATTTTACTAAGTTCATAATTAATTTATAAAACATCGAATCATTTTTAAAATACGTCTAATTATTAATTTATTCTTATGCATATAGAATTATATATTTAATTGAAAATAAGCAACCTAAGTAGGTTATCATACTTATGAAGAGTTATTATGGTCTTTAGAAACTGTGTATTAGTAATTTTATAAATTCTATAAATAATCACGATATTAAGACATAATTGCATTAATTTATTATTTTAAATTAAGGATATCACACTTAATTATTCCTCCTCTTGCTCCATATATTATTATTTTAAAATATAGATAGTACTTATAAATTTAAAACAAAAGTTTCAAATTCTATTTTTATAAAAATAACATATATAAAAACAAATATAAAAACATCGTATTTTTATATTTAAAAGTATTAGCAATATATTATTTTAAAGAAATGATTATTATTTAAAATGTTTCCACTGCAATTAAATCAAATGAATATAATTTCTGGATTAGTTATTTGCTTAATTTGATTAATCATTCGACATATTCAATTATACTTATATAAAGATGTATATTTAATAACGTATGTTTTTGATTCGATTGTTATATTCTGTTGTAAACAAGCAAGTACGTGCTCACTCACAACTGTTTGCGAACATAGATGAGAGAGAGAGAGAGAGAGAGAGAGAGAGAGAGAGAGAGAGAGTTGAAGGATATTTTTTGACATAAATGTAAGATAGTTCTAATTTTTTTTTATGAATATTCTATTATATGTAAAAATATTGTTTATTCTTTATCTCTTAATTTATTATCCTTGTATACGCTTACCTTTTAGTCCTTTTGTGTTATGTTACTAAATATTTGTTTAACTATACATACTAATATTTTCGGTTAATGTTTTTATTTCTGATGAAGTTTTGTACGTATCTTTCTTTTTATTCTGTTTCAGACTAATTAAGTTTTAATGCCAATGGTAATATTCCGCTACAAGGAAGCAAACAAAATGCTATTTGTTAATTTGACAATGAACTTCAATTATTATAATGCATATTAATAAGTTAAAACATGTATTATTTCATAGAATTTTCACTATTATTTTAAGTATTGCACATTCTACTATTTGAAAATACTTTAATATGTAACAACAATTTACACAAAAATTATATTCTATTTAATACTTTCTTTTTTTCAAATTATAAACACAATTAGGAAATTATTTCAACGCTTTTTATTATATTTTTTCTCGAATTGTTATGAGTTAAAACATACTTAATTAGTTTTTAATGTTATTTAAACTTATGTATTCAAATTACGTAGAAATTCAGGTAATAAATATGAATCACAGACTAAATTTTTATCAAACATTTTGAAAAATATTCATTTTCCATAAAAAACTTTTCAATGATATAAATTTAGTGTTAGTGGAACAGTGTTATATATTATAGTTTCTGTTATTATATTTTCAGGTTATATTTATCAAAATTATAGAACATTTGTAAAATCCCTTTTTCAGCTAAGGAAATGTGTAAATGGAAAGTTTTGGCTTCGGCGTTTGATACAGTACAAGCAAATTTCTTTTTCGAGTTACATTAATATTGAGTGATATAATGAAAGTAAAGAATAATATTAAGTATGGTTTATATATTAATCTTTTCATTAATCAAAAATTCATCTTAACTTTTATAATAATTTGATGAAAATTATTTTAATATATTAAATATATTATGCATTTTGTGTATATTTTAAATACAAAATTTATAACCTAATTATGTAAGCATACGTAATTGTTTTGGAATTATAGTAGAAATATGTTAGAATTTTAAATGTAATATTTATTACAACTTATTTTTAACTAATTCATTATTTTATTATTTTATAAACATTAAACATATTGTATGATTAAAAAGACAATTCAATCTCTAAAGTATGAAATAATTTTATTGCTGGATTCAGAACATAATCTTAAATTTTAATTTTCATGTAAGTTTTATTGATAATATTGATTATACTTTTAATCATTATATTATATATATTATTGTATATATATAGTGTATGTGTAAGCCTAATTTTATTCAGCAATTTTTTTTATTTACAATATTTTTATGAAAATTTTATAATGAATAAAGTTTAAGAATATATTTTATTATTTCCTTTAAATATAAAAAGACGTTAAATATTCATATTTTAAATTCTTTATTGTAATGGATAAATTATATCTCTTATTCATCGCATCCAAAATATTAGTATGAACATGAATTAATTATTCAGTATGAATTAATCATTTTTGAAAAATTTATTACAAATGTTAGGTTAATTATAGAAAATATTATTATTTTGTTATATATATATATATATATATATATATATGACGATGATGAAATTTAAAAATGACTTTCAATGTGTAAAAATATTGAAGAAATTAGAATGATAATATTGTGACAAATAAGATTATCATCACTTTAATTCTGTATACATAATTATTAATATTTACTACAAAATTAGAAAGATTTTTTTTTATTAAATTTTTCTCTAGCATTATTTTTACGTATTGTTCATCTAATATATAAGTAAGTTTTATACGAAATCAATTATAATGTTCATGTATCGGACACAAATCAAATAAGTAATCCAAAATTAATACAAAAAAAGATGATTCTACTTGGTCCAAAATTAATAATATTCACAAGTAATTCAAAATACTTAAATGATAAATTTTTTATCTTATGCATTATAAATGAATAGCACCTCTTATTTAATTCTCTATACGAGTTTGAAACTGACCTTCCTAATAAGCTTATTTTAGAATATGAATATATCTGCAAAGGTAAGCGTATTCATTTTCGAATAAAAAGTCAATATTTGTGAGAAAAAAAAAGAGAAAAATAGTGAGTTTAAATAAGTATTATATGAATATTGTATTAAAAAAAAAAATCGCAGATACTTAAAAGTCTACTTATTTATAAAATTGAGAAAGTAAGAAATGAAATTTAATAATTATATGTAAATTATTTATTAATCAATAATGGCATTAATAATGGAAACATCAGCATAAAATATTTTCTTGGAAAAACTGAATATATAATCGGCTATTCTTTACGTTACGTCTTTTAGTTTATGTTAGAATAGCGTTAGTTCTTCTTTCACATTCTAATTATTTTCTAAATACATAAATAAATTGCAAATAAAAATTTTTTTTTTAAATGAACTATATTACTCTTTAATATTCTATATTTCTATATATTTTTATATTTTCATTTATATATTTCCATGCATTAATATTTTTAGAAATTATTGTTCGATATAATTAGATATATAATTTGGCATGTTTTCATTTCTTATAATAAGTAATTATTATTGGTAGGAGCCGGTACTTATAAAATATTAATCATAAATACAAATACAGTTGAATTAATTATTAACTATTAATAAAACGAATACGAAACAAGAAATAAAATAGAAAATTCTATTACTTATGATTTTAATATTGATTTCATTGCACTTGACTCTTCCCAAAAATTTTTTGCCAATATCACGTTATTAACCTGAAAAATATGTTGTGACTGTATTTATAATTATTAAACGAAAAAAGGGAGAATAATGTGTTATAATATACACTATCGCTTGTATAATTTCCCATAATTAATATTCTTAATTCTTTTACGACATTTCTAAATACAGTATACATTTCCGAAGATTCGCTGTTAAATGGACTTCGGCCTCAACGGCACGTTCTTTTCTCTCTCTCTCTCTCTCTCTCTCTCTCTTATACTTTGCACGACGGCGTAGGAAAGCTGCGCGCGCTCCAGCTGTTTGCTCTTTAGACTTGTATTGCTTGTATGCGTAAAAGGAACGTCAGTCTGGCTCTGGCCATCGAGTGGTAAACGAGTGGTCAGTTACGATAACTCTCCCTCTTTCTCTCTTACTATTCCTCTCTCTCTCTCTCTCTCTCTCTCTCTCTCTCTCTCTATCTTCTTCTTTCTGTATATTTCTGCATTTCTTACTCCTTCCACCATTATTCCCCCTCTCTATCTCTCTTTCTTATGCCGTGTTGTTTTGTCGCTCCGCAAGCAGAACCGCGATTTTGCTTTCTTCCTATGCTTATGTGTCAGTGTCTTCCAACGATGTGATTCTCTACCTGTTCTCATTGCTCGGAGTGCCAGGATTTTTGGGTGTAATGGAACGCGGCTGTTGATGATTAATCATAGTATTAGTGAACCAAGGATTCGGCTGCACATGCATTTGGATAGCAAACAGGAACTTGTGTATGTGCGTGCTTGATTTTGTATCAAGATTACTTTAGAAATAGTGATAAACTCATTGGTTGCTTAAATTATACGAAGTTTCATTAGCTTTTAAGACATAAATGAATAAATCTTAATTATGCATCTATTCTAATTTTAATTTTAAAAGTAACATTAATTTTAATCCATACTTTTTAATTCGATTGTTATACATACTTTTTATTTTGAGTGTTTAGATATATATATATATATATATATATATATATATATATATATATATATAGTGTCTGATTAGTCCCTGTACTGTTTCTACTTGTGCGATTTTTACGAAACGTATAATTCAATGTTAAGAATCTCTTTCGAGATAACAAGCGCCCAACCTCCACCTATAAACTACGAAATCATAAATACCATTAATTTACTTGCTAAATTATACAAATTTGACGATCTTTACAGACTCTTCTGGTCGTAAATCTTTGGTGCATGATATTGTCAATAATTATCTTGTAAATGAAACATCGAGCCATACGAAAATTAATTTCTCAAACAATCACATTCAGTTAAAAGAGTAACTCGTTATTTGTATTTCGCAGGCTCGTAATAACTTTCAGTGCGTGTCGGAATAAAAGGAACAATTACCTGAGGCTAAATAAATTATCTTCGTTATGACGGTCATCTGCATGCTGCCGATTAAATAGTAGTCGAGGAAATGACGACGAGAAGAGAGCGATAATAAGAGGCACGCAATTAATAAAGAATGCAGCATAAGGAAGAAGATCCGTCTTATGGGACGGTGCTGCTCAATACTTTCATCATCAAGAAGAAAAGATGCAGGGTATACTTCCACAGGGGCACTTTGATATGGGAGACCGAGCGGACGCCTTACAGTGAGTTCCTAATTAGTTACTTATTTTTCTTTGATTTTCCAATTCTTTTTAACGAATGCGTAAGGTAGTTGAAGAATGACCCTTTACACGGACCGTGCATCAATTAAAAGTTGCGGAGGCAAAAATCTTTAACCGCAATGCGAATTCATTTACACGCGCGCGCGCGCGCGCACACACACACACACTCGTATATATATATATATATATATATAAGGTATTTACAGCAATGGATAATTTGAAATTTTGATAAGATACATTACCAGTTTTTTCTTTTTTTTTTATGACTTGTTGCTTTTATTTCAAAAAGATTTGGAATTACTTTAAGTAGACAATCTTTTTCAGCTCTATCTCAACAAAGTTCTTTCACATCTACCATATTACTTTTGGAAATTTACTGTATAAAGTAAATATATTTTGTCGATCTTTAAAATATTGCTAGTAGCCAATATATAAGCGTATAAAATAATGTATAATTAACTATAATTTCAATTGATAATGACCTCTAACATTAGTAAAAATATCTACGAAGGTCTTCTAAGCAACATGGACATCATCAGTCAGAAGTATATATATTTTATCGAATGATATTATTAAACTCTATTAACATTTTTCAAATAAAGTATTAAATAAGATTTTAGGGACCATGTAGTTATATTATAGAATGTAGTTTATTTATTTATTTATTTATTTATTTATTTATTTATTATTATTATTATTTTAATTAATTTAATCCAAGAAATAGTATTTGCCAATAAAAGAATATTTATTTATACATTATAAAGAGTGTTTAGAATTGTATTGATTTCTGTTTGTTTGTTTTTCTTTTAACAATTAATACAAAAGAAGTATTGAAATATTGATTAACATATACAACAGCGTTTTCATTTTACAATTGGTCAGTTTAGAACATAATTGCGTAATATTATTTTAATTCTTATAATTTACGAAATATATTATGATACTCTTTTAATGCGTATTTTCATGTTCTGAAGCAAATATAGTGATAATACTATTACTTTATTATACTAAGTGCCTTTTGAAAAATATTAGCGATTATATTTATTCGTATTTAAGTATATAATTTATGTTTATAATCGCAATATAGTTAATACTTTTATTCCGAACAGATAAATGAATACCGCTCGTTTAATTGTTTTAAACGTATTTCAATAAATTTCTCTAATATAGTTGTTTATATTCCCGTGATCGCAATAAGGAAAAAAAAAAATTCTTTAATAATAATAGTATTAACCTAAATTGAGATTTCGCATCAAATGACGAATCGTTAACTCTGTATTGATTACGAAACAGTAAAACAATTGAGCATAATTTGTAACTGTTATCTTGTCTTTATAATGATTCATTTACTTTATTTTGTTTATATGTTAAATGTAGAATGTATTGAGTAATTACCCAAGTATTTAAAATTTACGCACAATTAATTTCATGTAATATTTTTATATATTATTGTGCGATCATAAATTTTGTTGAAAAACTTGAATATAATCAGTATATTTAAATATACTTAAAATTATTCAACTTTTTCCCCCCAATATATTTCAAACATAAACGTTCTTAAAGTATTATATCTTTTAGTGTAATTTAATTGTATTCCTATTAGTGACGTTATTCTTTTAAAATTCACGAAGTATATAAGTTATTTAATCAATGTAAGTTTTCGTTAGCAAAAGTATTTAAATTAAAATTCTGACAGCCGGTAAATAAGTAAATGCTTATTTAATGAGATTTGCCAACAAGAGTTCAGTTATATAGAAGCACATATAAGGCCTAACTGATCTAATTCATTAATTAACAATATTTCTGTAAATATGGTTAAATATCGATATTACAAATGGCATTATTTATTGATTTTGGAATGCTTATGTTATAGTAATAAAATTTGTCACATTGCTGAAAATTGTAATCGATGTGGTTGTAGCTTTTGTTTTAAATTATATAGTTGGTTAATTATCTCATAAAATAATACATACAATCATACATCGTGACTAATGAAAATGATTTTTTTAGAAAACTCATTGTTTTTTTTTTTGTTAGACCGTAATAGGATGAAACTATTTATCGTAAAGCAATATCTTAATTACTATCGAAATCTTTAAGTCATTACGTCTAAAATGTTGTTTCATTATTACCAATTTTTCCTCAAGCTCATAAGTTCATGTATGATATATACTGAAATTTTTAAAAATAAATATCTAAAGTAATATCGGAGTCAACTGGTTTAAAGAACTCGGAGGTTAGTGGTGATAGGCAGGTGAATGGATAATTAGTTCATATTATTTAAGATTGATAATTGAGAAGATCTATAAAATAATCACCGACACGTAATAGCCATTTAAAATGGCCAATTAGTATTGTTAATCGTGGATTCTATTGATATTGCTATTTATTGGCAACCGACAAAGCAACGCTCAATCTCCTACAAGTTAAACGAGTTAATAAATAAATATATGGCAATATCGTGATAACTTTGCATACACATGGATAATTGGCAAGCCATTAATTCAATAAAACTGATAAATTTTGTAAGTGTAAAGGATCGTTCGAGAATGTATAGCGCAAATCGCCGCTGTTCATAATTCCAAGAATATTATCAGTTACGCGGAGCAAGCGCAAACGAGCCTTGCCTACTAGTGTAAAAGGACTCTGCGTCGCAGCCTTTCACGATACATTGCTGCTGCTGCTGCTGTTGCTGCTGCTGCTGTTCAACAATGCATCGCGGCAAACAACGGATCGCAGCTTTACAAATGCGCGAACGTTACAAATGTTTTCCGCTCTCAATCAATTCCGAGTGCCTGTGTGCGCGCGCACGTGATAATTCCTTAATAATTCGAAGTCATGCCCGTCACGCGTATGTCATGGTCCGGAATCTCTCCTCGGCTCTCTTTGCGCTTGCTTCGCGCTGGGAAAAGCCAACTAACTTTCCATTCTGCATTGCGCTTGATAAGTGCTTGGTAAGCGCACGTGCCCGATGTGAATTTATTATTTATATGCAGCTTGGTGTGCGTACGTGTGTAGTCACGTACCTCGGCTATATTTAGTGGGATCGACGTTAATAACATGGCACGTGCATGGCTTTACTGTCTTCGAAATGATTCGCTGCTGGTGCTTGTGCTGCTGCTTATCGGTCATTCGCATGCACTCTTAGCTCTCCCATAATAGATTTTTCACTATTTACTTTTGATGTATTTTCATATTCCCTCATCGCCTTGTTCGCTCATCCATTTGCTTTCATTGCTTTGCTCCCGGAAATACAGAGTGGTGCGGAGTAGGACGAGATGCCATTGACGCAAACATTTCCTTCCGATTAACGATAAATATATTTCGTAATAAGCTCTCATTTTGTTATTTTAAACCTGTAAAGTTCGCAAAACATTTTAATATATCGCAGTGGGTGGCGAGGGGGGGGGACGTTAATTTTACTGATCTTTTTCATAGAGTTTCTCATAGTTTCCCATTGTTTTATACTCATTGTATCATGCAATTGTAGCAGTGCGTAAAAGTTATTTCTTCTTCTGTTTTTTCTTTTATCTTTATCGCGCTATATTATTTTAAAGTTTAGAATCTAATAATTATACTCCACATTGCAACATAATTTTATGATATTTATACTTATACAATTTTTTTTTTCCTAACGTAATTGAGAAATTTGTTTAGAGAACCAATTTTTTAAGATCTTATGTAATTAAATAATGATTTTATTAAGAGAATTGTCCGATGCGTGCGTTATCACTTGTGCACTATTAAGCTTTAGGTAAGATATTATTTATAATACTTGTTAATGTACCTTAGTAGATCGACTTAATCATCTGGACATCATATGCTATTGATAATCGTTATAAATTATTAGATTTATATATATATTTAAATGTTCTGCATAAATCTTATTTTGGTAAGTATCATAAGTGCAATGTTGATTTAATAATTTAATATATTCCTTCGAAATTATTACTTGCAAAGTTAAATTCTTACGTATTCTACTGTACTGCAATTAAGAATTTTCGTTCAGCTTCTTCAATTCAATGTGATTAAAATAGTTGATCGAAGTAAGTTGAGTGATAGTAGATTTTGTTCTTTTACGATATACAGCGACATATTATTGTAGCGTCTCTGCTTATGTAAAACAAAAAATGTAGAAAAAAAGCGGAAAAATGAAAAAAAAACTATTATAATTGCAACATCATTCAATAATAATAAATTTACCTTATTTTTATATAGTTTTTTTTTTCATGATATTTTATACTTATTAATTTTTCTGATTCACTAATACGCAATAGTTATTTATTAAAATGTAAAGGATATTATTATTTGAATATATAAAACCTTATATTAAGTTAGAATAGACTAGTTTCAATTTTCAGATAGTTTTGAGATTAAGATTTTATTATTTTTATTTTTTTTTTTTTTAATATTTGAAAGTTACTGGTTCGATTTATTTCGTCTTAGATCTGTTGAAAAAATAAAATTAATTAAATTACTTTTTATTATATAATACTCAATCTCTATATTAAAATCAAGATATGGATTTTTTATAGTTTTATTTTTTTCAATATCAAAAAACCAATGTATTAATAAAGTTGGATAATATAAATATAAAATTTGATAGTTTAAAAAAATAATTTTATATCATGATATAATTTTATGTCAGAAAATGTTATTATTTAGTAATTAAAAAAATTTCTATTTAATTTCTATAAATACAGTGAATTAACTATATTGATAAAGTTAGAAATTTTTTTTTCATACTTCCATTTTACATAAATATTTCCTAAATTTATAACGAATAATTACTTTGCTTATTCAATTAATTATAAAATAGTCTGTGTGGCAGCTCCCTGAATAAGTGAAATTATCGATTACAAAAATGCTAATGAAGATGATGTAAATCGTTTCCTGGTTATAATTTGAATACATTCCTCACTTTGTATGTTCTTCGCGTATAAAGTAATAGAATAATATAAATACATTTTAGTACATTAGTGACGCTTCTTTATGTTTGGCGTGAAATTTATTATAAGATCTTTGCGAAATCATTTGAATTTACTAAAGAGTAAATTTACTGAAGAGTAAATTCAAATTGGGTACAAGGAAATCAAATATTTTTGATATAAGTATAGACGTTTGCTTCGGTATAGCTATCGGAGACCGACTGCTCACAAAATATTTGAAATATTAGCTTCCACATTTTAGCCAATTGCGGAAGATATTAATAAACATATCAAATAAAAGTACAATAACATTACGATTATTTCCGTATTGCTTTCTGTTATATTTTAAAACAATGGGAAATGCTTATGAGACGAGTATAAGTAATCACTTATATCATATTCAAACTCATCTAGCCCAATGTCAATTAATTTACTTCATCAAAAGTCTCAATAGTAGCTGATTAATAGTATACATTATAAATAATATACTTGTATTTATATTTATGATTCTAGAAAACAAACCGTATTTTTAAAAAACAAATGACTATGAAAGTATAATTTTAATTCTAATTTCTGTATCCTAAAAGTATATATAAATTTTCTGCATGTAGTTAACATTCTCCACTTTATTATAAACATATTCGCAAGCTTGTATTATGCATAAATTTAATTAATATAATTATTAAATAATATTAAATGTACACGACTGTTTATAGAATTTTTTATTTCAGTCATAAATTACAAAAGTATTAACAAATATTGTATTTTTAAATTTCATCAGAACTCTTTTTTAATAAATAACAGTATTTATCTTTGTATTATGAGTCTGTCATAATAATACGCTTAAAATATGTAAATTGTTATTGCATAAAATATTGAATTGAAAAAAACTTCTTATCTGAATAATTTATTTGATGCATAAATAGTATTAAAAATTATTAAATTATGCGACTACTATAAAAAATAATATTAAAATATAAGTTTTGATTCAATTGTATTACTTTTGAGTAAAAAAGCAAATTTATTAAAATTTAAATAAAAAAATTTGTCATTAAATGTAATTACATAAATTCTAATCAACTTTGGTTAGAAAATTATGTATTTCAATTTTTTTTAAAAGTCACAGACATTCCTATTTTATTAATATTTATATAATACTTTGCACTTTCTGATACGATTAAAAATTTTTAATAAAAAAATAATTACTGAAACGACTTTTATAATAATATATAAGCAATAATTATATTAAACATTATAATAGTCATAATTTTTTTAAGTTTAAAAAAAGATAAAAAATCATTTGTATCTTTCAGTTTAAACAGAAATGTTAGATATGAAAAAGAAATTTATATTTGAAACAAACATGAATTCTATTGTCGAGTATATCAGTAATAAGGCGTAATTTATATGTTTTAAATTTCCTTTTGTTTATATTGAATTATTCCATGAGATCAAGTTATCAAATTTTTAAACATTATGAATTTTTCATAAAATATTGAGTGAATGTCCATATTGATCGAAAGCAAGCTAAGTGGATTTTATAAAATTTCCAAATTTATTATATACCTATTTTTTTAAATATAAATAATAAAAAAAAATTACTTTCAAGCTGAAGTTAGAATAGAAGATATAAAGTTTTATTGAATGTGTAATTTGGAAAAAATAAATGATAATTATAACATTATGTACTCTTTAATACTGCATTGAAATAACCAGAAGAATTATTTATTCATTCGTTTAAAGACTAACAGAATGTTTGCAATAGATTAAATTATTTAAAAGAGAATTTTATTTTATATTAGAGCGAATCGAATGTTATCTTTTCATATGTACTGAGTAAACTTTTTTCTTTTACCAACTTTGAATAGTTGAAATTCACGATGAATTTTTATTTTCAACAGAACAGAATAAAAGTATGAAATTTAAATTCTAGCGTCACGATATATGTATATATCGTTTCATATGCTTAAAGAATTTTATAAATTAACTATTTTTCACATACACTTTATTTGCTTAAGAAAAAAAAATGTATAAAAACATAAGATAAGTATGAAATTACAATCATTGTTACAATATATTTTGATATATTGAATAGCATTACTAATTAATGTTTTATATTTTTCCGATATGTGGTATTATTACTTAATATAATTATGATAATGACCATAGATAATTAATAAATATAATCATAATTGATAAATACATCAAACTTTTAATATTCAGCTGATTAAGATAATTTGAACCTTTTTCTCGTGAAAATAGGTTGGAAAAATTGAAAAATATCCTATAGACATATATGTTACGATTGTCTCGACCTTGTGACGCAAATCGGTGAGTATTTAAATTGACAAAGCAGTCACATCTCAAGATCATTCTGAGAAATAATCCTCACAAAATACTTTTCTTTATCATTAGCAATTCAATTTGATATAAAGTGTCTGTTTGATCTTTTTAAATAATAAACCAAATGTTGACAAGATGGACAATTTATATAATATATTTTATATGTTGATATATAAAATTATCATTATTATAATTTATATAATAATCATTATTATTATTAGTCACCTTAACAAAAAAAAAAAAATACTAATAAAAATACAAGTAATTTATAATTTTGCATAATTCATACTTCTTTACAGTTTATGACGGTGTGTTTGTTTTATTTTAAAATAATAAACATATTTGACATATTTTTATTACTATTATAATTTACAATTTAATCAATAAATATATATATATATATATATATATATATATATATACACATATTGTTATTAATAAAATAGTTTGATTTTCATCATTGAAATTTAAAATAAAGAACTCATGTTATATACAATATTATTCAATACAATTTTATTATTTCTAAGCTAATATGTTTCAAGTATCAAAGCACGAAAAAAATTTTTATTCGAAAGCGACAATCACTTGCTAAATGTATAAAACAAAAACGTCATGTAAAACTATATTTTGTACTTTACACTCTATTGAAATCTAATATGAAGTGCTAAATTACATATATTATTTTATTATTTGAAATCCGATAAATTTAATAATTGCTAATTACTTACTTTCAAGTATTTTTGAAAATATTATATGTACGGTAAGAATCGGACATAATAGTCGCTTCGTTAATACGCTAATTTCATATTCCTTGCCTTTGATAAAAACAAAGAGTCCTGTTTCCGCACGCGTCCTTCGATCATCCAATGCCCTTAACAGAATATGCTTCTCAATTATTTTTTCTCTTTTCAGCTCGGTGGACTCTACCTCTTACGGATGTGTTATCGGCGACTTACGGCAAGGAGCGGATCACCAATCCTGCAACCAACAAAAACTTCAAGGACAAGGAAATGAAATCCGCTGCGACGTCGACGACCTCGACTCTATTGCCGACGAGTTTCGTACTGCATTATGCGGTGCGAAGTCGTAAGAACAAATGGAGTCACCACAGTGTCACTATGAGTCATGATGACCACAGGCAGGTCACTTCTTGGGTCAAGACCATACGTAATTATCTCGCAAGTAAGTTTGGTCTTTTAAATTTTGACTTACTGCACTTGCGAATAAATAAGTACATATTAGGTGGAAAGCAGTCTCCTGCATATATCTCCTGCATATGTCTGCTATTTATATAAAATATTCATTGGTAGAAGCATAATGCAGCCATAATAAATGAATGTATACGTGATTCTTTGACTCTTACTATTTTCTGACTATGTAAATGTAATATTATATTATTTGATAAACAGTTTTTGCTGAATGGGAATGTCCTTTTAAGTTAGCGGTAGTCAGATAAATGGGCACATCGTTATTTATCAAAAATTTATTTAATTAATAATTTTAATGAATTTTTAGCTAAACTATAAGAAATTACATTCTAAATGAGAAAAGTATTTTAAGAAATCGTATAATTAATTTACGTAATAAAAATGTGATAATGTATAATCATAGGTATACCTTAGTATATTCTTTGTAATTGTTTATGATTGTTAGTATAAATACACGAGATTATTGTAAAATTTAAAGACAATTAAGAATCAATTTTTAATACAATTTAAGCTATTTATTATAAAGTTCATAAAATTAAAATGTCCATGATAAAAACGGCGGCTATTAATTCAATAACGATATTCAGAAATAATGAATATTTATTTGCATATTATACAAAGTGATGAATAAAAAATAGTATAAAATTAACAAGAAATAGTAATTAATATTATGATTTATAAAGTTGAAAATCATAAATAATATATTTGTAAATAATACCTAATATACTATTTATGGTGCGAAATACGATATTTAGCGTCGTATTAAACATTGACTTCTTAATAACTTTTGTACATTTTTATTATAACTATTTGTACAAATAATAAGTTTATCTACTTATTGTAGAAAAACATGATATGACAAAGAGTTAATTGTGTCGAAACTTTTGATTAAAAAGTTTATTGAAATGAACGATCGAGCCATTTTTCAGTGATATTATTTAATTTATTATGAAATGTTTACAAATGTTTCTTTAAACATTAAATAAATATTCAAAGTGTTGATAATAGAGGATTTTTTATATAAAAATATAATTGTGAAAAAATGAAGCATAATTTTAGATAATCAGATAAAATAAAAAGTATAGGTGAGAAATGAGTCATGAACAAGGAAGTTTTGATTATATAGTTTTAATAATATACAGTATTTGTTGATTTTAACAATGGTTGTGCCAATATATCAAAACAAAAGCAATTATCGCTTTGTAAAATTTCTTGTGTATCTGCAAATTGATGTAATCAATTATGAGGAACGAAATTTAATTTTCCAACACGTATGTCGAATTGTTTATTTAAATATATGTGTTGATTGGAATTTTTAACGATTTAAAAAATTGAATACATTTGCATATTCTGTCCATATTTTTTTCTTCTAAATGTTTTAATACGCTGTTGATTTATCAAGCGTCTTTTCTTATGCTTAAAATACAGTTTGGCAGTCTCAAACTGTAATTTCTATTAAGTAGAAAGTTAATTCTAATTAAGATTCTAAATTGCCATTAGAACTTCGTATCTTTTTCCTACAGATTTCTCACATCGTCCACGTAAGATACTACTTTTTGTCAATCCATTTGGTGGTAAAAAGAAAGGGCTGCAAATATGGGAAAAACAGGTGCAACCGTTAATGAACATCGCCGAAGTTGAAACGAAAGTTATCGTGACGGAACGAGCTGGGCATATTCGTGATACACTATTGATCAGTGAACTCGACAGTTATCAGGCAAGAAAACATTTTTTTCGCACAAATATTATTCATTAATAACTATCCATTTAATAAAAAGAATCTATGATTGTAATTGATTTATAATAAAACACCAATTGTATCTCAAAATTAAAAATCAATCATGTGAATTAATAATACAACTTAATATTTGTAATCAAATAAAAGTGTAATTATAAATGTGATTATTTTTACTTAAAAATGTACTTGAAACGTATTTATAATTAAAATTATTTACATTTTAAAATTAATTAGTAATTCTTATTCATTTTAAAATATTTTACAATATTTTAGTTAATTTTAACATTTGTATTTATCCCAGCAAACTCACTGAAAGTAAACTTGACATAAAATTTTATCATATCATAGAATTTTATTATAACACTTGTATTTGAATATGAATTATTTTTTTTATAATTCTTAATCGACCTGTAATGTTGATGATAATTTCAAATTGTTCAATAATTAAATTGAGTTTTAATTATGTAAAAATTGCTAGATTAAAAAAATTTAAATTAAATATTCGAGACTCTAACTTAATTTAAAGAACTTCTCATATATATTAAATATTATTAATTTATGGTGATTTCCATAATTAAAATAAATCATTACAATCATTTCTATCGGTTAAATATTTATTGTCAGTTGGTAATTTAACTTGTGTCTTTATTATTAATTCTATTTTTAAAAATTCTTATATTTACATTTTGTAAGTAAATGTTCAATTACTAATTTCTTAGCTGTCGAGCAAGTAATTGTATTATTTCTCAATATATTCAACTTTCTAAATATCTATATTTAAATCTATATTCAATATCCAAATAAATAGTTGTCAAATCAAATATATAGTTCTTTTTAATACATCAATTATATTGCTTATTTTAGAAATATCTTAAATTCTGTGACAGTTTTTAGAAGCTAATATTATATATATATATATATATATATATATATCTTTTAAATATTTAAAAAAAAAATTTTTAAAAATTAAAAAAAAAATATAATCATTTGCTTAATGATTTTATTTTACTATTTATAGATGATTAGCAATAAAAGAAAAGAATAATCACAAAAAGTTATAATTTTCTCATGATGAAATATTTATAAATTTATGAAAAATAACGAATTAAATCGAAGTATATTCATATTTTTCACATCGTCTTGTATTTCCCAAAATCAATCACTATTCTATAATATTTAAATTATACCTAATTAATAAGACTACAAATAACATTATTTGCTGTTTATTTGTCAATGGCAATTTGAATAAGTATAATCGATAATTATAATACATGATTTTGTTCAATTAATTATTATCGATATTTCATAATGATTATTATTGATTAAGTTGAAAGATTACGTTTCGCATTCAAATGCCTTCGTTAGATCGCACAGAATATCAAGGTCATAGAATTGATCGTTTCGATCATTCTAGGACTAAATTATAAAATTAAACTCACAGCAAATCACCTGTGTAAAAATACTTTATTGTTTTAGATATTATCGTAATCTATCTAACTGGCATAATATTTTATTGTATGAAAATTATAATATGAATGGCTGTAATTTAATTTTAACGGAGACTTAAATACTTTTTATATTCTTTATTGAACCAATGAATAAGATGCAAATATTATGTATAATTTTAGGTACCGAATATTTTTCTATAAATCGAATCTTAAATATTGAATTTCAATTAATATATATATATATATATATATATTTTTTTTTTATATACTTAGTATTTCTAACATTTATTTGCATATTTTATAATTTAAAAATAACGATTCGTGTACACGTAAGCGTCTTATTGTATTAAAATTTATTGATGAATTTCTTGTCATTAAAAATTTGCTTTATTGGAAATCGTATGCTCAACATTTTACCGTCTTAATGCAATGTATTCTAATCGATTATTGTTTATATTATGATTAATGAGGGTATAATACTTAAGAGAATGCAAAAGTTTTCATAAAACGGAAGGCTTATACTTTGCAAATCCTATATATTTGCACATTTTTTAATGATAACAATTTATTTGATAATCCATACTATGCTAGAATTTTTTATAAAGTCTATTCTATAATTGTATTTCAATATTTAACTGAAGGCCTTGAATGTGTTGAGGAAAGTAATAAATTGAAAAATTAGTAAAGTTAGAATTAAGTATAAACATTATTATTAAACAAGAAAATTTAAAAAAAGTTATTACCGAATGTACTGTATATATTGTAGATTATAAAGTTTAGAAAATTTTTATTATATCTTTTATGAATTATAACTCAAATTTTTTGAAATATCGATTATATTTTTAAGGTTTTATTAATTTAAAAAAAAATGCATTTAAATATTTAATGTCTTAAATTCTTTATTTTGAGTTTTTATAATTATATAATCGTATTTTAAAATTATAGTTTAATGCTATCATAATAAATGAAATAATTAATTCATATATATTTTTTAATAATTAATTATATATATATATTTTTTTTAATTTTACGATTTACTAAAATATACTTTCAGAATTTCCTAAGCATGTGTAATAATGCTAGTGTAGAGAGTATGAAAAATCTATTTTAGTTTTTTAAAAATTTATATATATCTCATACAAATTAATTTATACAAATTCTGAATTTTTAATTTTTAATTAAATAAATTTTTAATTAAAACAGTTTCATCAAATATTTAATATGTGCATCAAGAAAACAATAATTATTTAGTTTTTAGATTAAAATAAAATAACAATTATATTTGTTTATATTTACTTCTAAATTTTACATATATTTCTTTGCAATCATTAATATTATTAATACTTTGTTGATTTTTAAAAGAGTTATAATTATAACTATGTATTTACAGTGATAACAATGAAGAAGAAAAAGTTTACAAAGTTAAATTGTTTATTTTTTTTTAAATAGTTTGTATTTCAATAAGTAATAAAAGTAATAAAAGATTTTAAATCGTCGAAGAGCACATAAAATGTAAAATGTAAAAGAACTTCGGTAAACAGCTGATTGCCAAAAATTTGACTATTATATAATTCATGATATTATGAATTAATTCGTTCTAACTAAAAAGTCGCGCGAGTGTAAAACAATGGTCATTTCTTATTTCTAGATTCACTAATGAGCATGAAATTATGCAAATTCACATACATTTAAATATTCATAATTATGAATATCGGATACGAAGAACAGATGATTTCTGACTGTAAGATTAGCTCATGACGTACAGAGCTTTTAAGTATAAATGGAATGCGAAAGTTAGGGAAGTCTTTTAAATCTTTTTCTTTAGGCCTTCATTTAATAGTTTAATCGTAAATAAGCAAATAGAAGTGCAATTTGGTAATAAGTTATAAGACATTCTAATTAAATAAGTAAAGCAAAGTAAGTGCTTTTTTAATGCTTATTTCGTTTCATGAAATATTATTGTAATGAAGTATGTAATAGTTTCTATTTATGATTAGCTAAATTATTATAATATTGTCAGATTTTTGTAATCAATGTAGTTCGAAGAAATATGTATGCAATCTATTAATCAGTAAAAATATAGTTTCTTATGCAACTAATTTTAACGGATTCATCAATTCACGAATACATTCTTGAGAAATGTCATAAATACATTTGCTGTTCTATTTATTCTCCACAAAAGAGTGACTATCACTGTCATTCTTATACAGGCGAACGTGCGCACGCGTGCATACACGCGGTGAGCATGCCAGATAGAGAGGGAAAGGGACAGACAGAGTGTTAGAGAGATATCGTGTGCGTATATGTGTGTATGTGGAGTATGGGTCTCTCTCTCTCTCTCTCTCTCTCTCTCTCTCTCTGTGTATGCCAGAGAGAGAGAGAGAGAGAGAGAGAGAGAGAGAGAGATAAGTTTCCATATAAAAAACATTGCGTATACGCCTACAAGTTGACACGATTTTTTTGGTTTACGAGCACAATTAATTATGTATATTTTATGACGATTATAGTATCTCATATAATTATATAACTAAGATAGATAACGTCGCATCATTTAAATATATCTACAAACACTTTAAATCTTAATCTGAAAATAGGGCTTTGTACATTCTGCTTTATATTCAACATTTACGTTAAGTGTTAATTTATTGAAATATGATATAAAAAAAAAGAAGAATTTGTCTAATGCAGAAAAAAAAAATAGAATGAAAAAAATTGTGGAGTAAGAACAATTTTAAAATAATAAATGTGTAAAGATTGTTAATGCTTAAGAAAATTTGATTTACACTTATTAAATATAACATTCATAAAATTAATTTCAATTCTATTCTTAAAATAAATGTAATAGTAGTTGCAATAAAATTTTTAATCTAATTATTAGATAAAATAGTATAATAAATAATAAAATCAACGAATAATTATCTGCTGAGTTACTATGTCTTTGATTTATTTCAATCAAAATTAATACGATTAAATGGAAAAGAAAAGAAAAATTGTTGCTAACTTCACAATTATCTCAACGTTTTATTTAAATTTATAGTAATTTGATGACTATGTAAAATAGAAGGAAGTCGGTTATAGAATAGTGCACGTGCATATTATACTTGTTTAAGCTAATTCGACAATCGAGGTTAGGAAAAAGGCTTTGCATCACTAAAGTTGCATCAAGGTTGTCTATAGTTTCATTCATGTATTGTACGTATTCTATTATAAATTTATTAGGGCACATAATTTGTTGTCATTTGTTCAATTAATCTTTATACAATTATCGATTTTACCTTAGCTTGAACTTTCGTAGTGCATTTCGTAGTTAATGTAAATAAACAATTATTTAGGCAAATAAATTAATTCAACTCATTAGCTTACAATGGAAAATCTATTATATTTCGTAATCTATGGATCCTAATCTGGTGGATATATCCGATCCATTATAATCCTTGATATAATTTATAGAATATATAATGCAATCTTTATTATCGATCATGAGAATTATATTTCGTTATTTTCTAGCTGAAAATAATAAATAATTCTCTAATAATCTGTCTGAATATATTATAAAAGAACATCGCTTTAATGAAGAAATTACAATTGATGTTTAAGATTTACATACAGATTTACATAGAAGACAATATTGAATCGATGCTAATTGGATCTTCATATAGTATTCGTAAAAATTATGCCTTCGTGATGTAAAGCCATTTCAATTAAGATGCTATTTAAAATCATATTTGTCTAACTGTTTGAAAAATTTATTATAAAATTATATTTTTATGTTTTTAATTAACTGCTTTAATTCAAATTTAAAATAATTGATCTTTTAATTGCAGGCCGCCGTATGTATAGGTGGCGACGGCACTTTCGCCGAGCTCTTCAACGGTTTAATAGCTAGAGCTGCTCGGGACCAGCGCATCGACCTTAATGACCCGGACGTTCTCCTACCAAAGCCCAGCCTCCCTGTTGGTGTCATTCCCAGCGGCAGCACCGACACCGTCGCCTACAGCCTGCACGGGACGACGGACGTCGAGACGGCCGTGATACACGTCGTGTTCGGCGACTCGACCGGCCTCGATCTCTCCTCCGTTCACAATGACGACAATTTGCTCAGGATATACGCGAGCATTCTTAGCTACGGATATCTGGGAGACGTCGTGAGAGATAGCGAGAAGTTCAGATGGATGGGACCGCAGCGATACGACTACTCTGGTGAGCAGGCTATCTCCACTCCCCTCCTATCTTATTTTTATCCGATTGTTTATTAATGGCACGAATTTAAGCAGCTGGAGGCCGATATAATTGTCAACATTGTTTATGGCTCAATGTCAAAAGTTGAAAACTAATTGAAATTAAATATAATGCATACATGCGATAGTGGAGTAACAATAATTATAATGATAATAATGATAATGATAAAGGCGATATAAAACGATAATAATAGGCAAATATTTGAAAAATTGTGCCAAACGTATTGATTCTGAGATAAGAACTTTAGCACTTAGTTTTGTTATGCTTAAAATGTGTAGATCTTAGGCTATTTATCGGTCAACGTGAAACTATGTGTATATATATATTTATATATATAATTGTTATTATCGATTAAGATTTACAAAAGACTGACAGACACTCAATGAAATAAGAATCAAATAACTTGAAAAATATTTTATAATGCTTTCATCAATGTTTATATACTGCTTAAGTGTTGTAATATATCTGGATTGATTTTTTCTGATTTGATAATATTGTCACATATAAGGACACTATCGATAAAGTTTTAAAGTTCGACATGTCACTACGTTCTGAATAAAAACAAAAGATTCTAAATAATTTTTAAAATATTGCACAACCTTCGTTTATGATATTATTATTATTATTATTATTATTATTATTATTATTATTTTTTTTTTTTTTTTTGACTAAAATCTTTGATTGATTTGTTTACTCAAATATTTACATTCAACAATTAATATAAATTAAACAATTATTATAAATTAAATTTCTTATATTGAATTCTTTCAACAGTTTTATATTTTTGCTTGTGTCTTTACTCTGCTCCATGTAATTAGAATATTATTGTTCTCATTTCGAAATATTATTTCTAACATTGTTGTGCTATTATATACCATTGGATGAATTAATTATTAACTAATGGATATTAGATGCCCAATAAAACATGAGAAATTTTAAAACATCTAATATTCGCTTAATATTCAACGGAAACGCTTTTAATAATGTGATTTACGCACGTGCATCGCAGGTTTCAAAAAAATAATTGCCAATAAAGGATACGAAGGAGAGGTTGTCCTATTGGCCGAATCTGGACATCCCGCCACATGCACAAGATGCATAAAAAATTGTTCGCGTTGCATTCAGCGATCTCATTGCGTCAACATCGACGATGATATTTCGCGTAAGTATTTTATGTCTTCTTATATTGCGTTAAATAATGTTACTTTTCAATATTTATCTTATGCGACTTCTTTTAATAAAATGTACGATTGATGTCGCTTATAAAGAATTCATTTATAAAATAATTTCTTCAAATTGATTTAGCATCAAATGTATTAAGTCGTAAGTAAAATTATTAAATATTAAATTTTCATAATGATTTAACGTTATATTAATTACTAAGCAACTAAATTATTATACTAAAACATACCGAGGAGGCTGAAAGAATAATTAATTAATCCGTTCTATTCAATTAGTTTGTGATAATACAGAGCAGGAAACAAATAAGTCGAAAAAATATAAAAAAAAAAAATAAAACAAATGGGCTTTATGCATTAAAATCATTGTTGCGCTTTGTCTTAAACTTTGTCTTTAAAACGGCAGTGGAATTAATAAAGTAATAGTATACATTATTGGGTCTTGAAAGTAATAAATTAATAGGTTCATACAATTATTGCGTAATATTGCTGACTATCATTTTCACGTAGATAATTTTAAATTTTCGAGCAGTATTGCAATGTTATTATTATCAATATTTATTCGCGTCAGGAAACTGTCATTATTTAAATTAAACTTTAAGCATTAAGTAGACGGATTAATTAACGTTTGTTATGTCTGTGCAAATTATATTTCATATAGTCTTTCATTAAAATATATGATTAATTTAATTAAAAGAAAAATTATACGTAAGTTCTTATAAAATTTTAACAATGAATGAATTAATTTTCTTAAATAATAATATCTTACAGAAATTCATAAAACTGAATAAGCTTCGTGTGAAATATATTTTCTTGGGAATCAGAAGCGAAGTTATCTTTATTTTTAGAATTACATTTTACTGAACAAAAGGTTTTTTACTTAAAAGAATTTCTTACATTACGGTATTCTTTCATTAGAGGGGGGAGGGGGAATATAATTATACCCTTCCTCACAGTCTTATGCAAATGTCAGATTATATTATACGTGACATTTGTATTTACAGTTACTTTTGAAATTTTATAATAACACTATTTGAAATAGATGGCAATTTAAGTGCTTATGATATTGATAAAACAAAATGAAAATGGCATTGTAATAATTAATCGATGCTTAAAAACTTATTTTAAAAATATTAATTGTAAATAAAGGCTGCTATATGCATGTAATGAGCTTTGAATTTTTTTGATAAATTAATTGATGCGACAAAAATGAAGAATTTTAATATCTAATATTTTATATTTGGCCAAATATATCATTTTATATCGATAAATCCTAATGCAGATCATAATTTTTATGAATACTATATAATTAACGTGAACGTTTTCGTAATAATCAACTTCTTTAAATTGTTCTTAAATTTTAACACATTCATCATAAATAAAAGTGAAACTTTTACGTGGAAATTTCTTGTAAAAAAAAGCATATGATAATTATTTAAATTATTATATATATATATATATATATATATATATATATATATAATTCGTTTATTAGACAATATCATAAGATTTGTTCGTCGACATGGATTTATATGTCCTTGTATACACCAGGGTATTTAGAAATTCTAAATGCTTGGGAAAATAGTGAGTAATGCATTGAGCATTACAAACTTAATATATTTAAATATTTTCTAAATAGAGTAAGTACAAGTGCGGTTGTTTCGCAACGTTTTTTTTTTTTTGGTTTTTTTTTTTTTTTTATTTGTTATTTAGAATTTCACATAACTACGGTGATCGATAAGAATACAAATGTGAACAACAATTTACAGGGTGGCTGACGGTGAGAGGAAAATTCTTTATGGTTAATGGAGCTAACGTATCGTGCGCCTGCTCCAAGAGTCCAATGGGATTCAGTCCGCATTGTCACATCGGCGACGGCTGTGTTGACGTCATCTTAGTGAGACATACTTCCCTCATCAACAACATACGCATGCTGCTCAGACTCAGTAGCAAGGACAAAACTCTGGTAAATAATGCGCTTTGTAGTTATACGTATTAAAAGGCAACCATTGAATTACCCGCATGGGCCCGCAAAGTCGTTAATTTCTCATTATTATGAATAATAATTCATTTGCAGACTTTTAAATGGATTTTTAAGTGCATATGCGTGCACGTGTGTCGGCTCATTGTGAAAACTACATTTATTAAAACTTTCGGCAATGATTGAATAAAAAATTTTAATTTTTCATTGCTGTAAAAATTAATACTTTCTCTCAATAATATCAAGAGGTATTATAAAATAATTACTTTATCTTATTTCTTTATTGGATATTTCAATACTTTAATCGTTAGTAAAAACATGAGTGCTGGATTAGATTTTCGGCTTGTGTCAACCATTTTTTTTTTTTTTTTTTACACTTTCACTCATGTTTATGTAAGAAGATTTTTGCACAAAAATGCAATGCAATCTTAAATGACGGGAAAAATTCATACGAGATTATTTTTTATGTGGAGTATTACAATTCTAGTGATATTGCACTTGTTAATACTTTAATAATTTAATGATTAAGCCTCGACAATTTAATGTTATAACGCCGTATATAAGAAGCTTTCGTATTTTTCATGTTAACCATTACCATTGACAATTCTAGGAAATGCACTGGCAAAGCTCCAGCAACTATTGGTATAATCGTTTTTCTCACGAGAAAATTTCCCTTTTAATAAGGCCCTTAGGATCCTTAGGGTCAGAGAGGAAAGAAGGAAAGAAGCTTGAATGATCGTGTTAAAGCAAAATTCTGCTTCCTTTGCAGTATGATTTGCCGTTCGTGGAGGTTTATCGGGCGCGTGAGTTTACGTTCCGTGCCTCGGATATTCCGGACAAGAATCCCGTCCAAAACAATGGCTCCAGTCGGTGTTCCCAGCTAAGCAACTCGGCGCTCAGTGTCTGGAACTGCGACGGCGAGGTCATCGACGCTTCAAGCGTTAAAATCAGGTACACGAGCAATGGGCGAGCAATGGCAAGCTGATGACTATTAATTCTACGTATCTTGCTTCGCAAACATTATTAAATGGGAGACACTTTTGTAGTTAAAATGATCACCACAATGCGCTAATTTTATAATGTTAGGATACCTTGTTAAGGTCGGCCAATTTCACAGTGAATGTTTATGAAAAAGTAAGATTTTCCTTCTATTTCTTAAGTCTATTACTAATTATGTAAGGATAACTCGTATCATAAATGATATAAAGTGTTGATTTCATAAATTTCTTATAAATATTGTAATTTATACTTATACAATGCTGTGAGACGGATATCATTCGTTTTTAGTAGATGAACGAATATATTAAAACATAGTTTAAATATCAATATTTCGCAATATATTTAATCTTATAAAATTCATTTGTAATTTCTTAACACGAAAATATTGGAATAAAACATTATCAATACGATTCGTTACCGATGTAACGGCTGTGCGTATCATTTTCAGGAAGCGGTGAAATTAAAATATAAATAATGAAGCAATTATCCTTTTCATTGCTTTATTTTCAAAATAGGAGTTGAAATTTTCATTTCATAATTGTAAATATTTCTATTATCAATATTAAATTAAAAATTTTCTTGTGAATAAATTTAATACCAACTGCTACGCTAAATAAGTTTGTTTGCTGAGAATTTACTCCGTACAAGATTATATACTAGAGATAAGTTAATATTCGTCAGCAAATTTACCTTAATTTATGGAACATAAATATTATATTATTACATTAGCATTGAAAAGTTACACTTTACGTTAACAGTTCACGCTTGTAGATTGTCTTCAAATTCACGCTCGTGCAAACATCTGTCTATACACTAGTCTATAAAAAATTTGCTAATCAATGTACTTTATTAATTACCTAATCCTACAGGCTATTTTATGACGAATTTTTGCGCAAGTTTTAGAAAGTTCTTAAAATGCACAGATTTTTATATAATGAGTAATCACGTGTCACTACTCATGAATACTGAATTCTAAAATAGAACATTATAAAAAATATTTTAAATGAATTAAATGTAATAGTGAAATATACATACTCATACATACACCCGCGTGCGTACACACGCATATATATTTCATATATATATATATATATATATATATATATGCATATGTATATGTATATGTATATAACTGCTTACGATTACAAATTAAAAATATAAGATTAAAATTATTAAATAAACAAATTTTGATAGATTGAAATTACATACATCGTAGTAAAATACTTGATTACCAAGCGTCATATTACCGTGATATAACCCGTGATAAGAAAAATGATTTGTAAACATTTATGACAGAGAATCATAAAAACGTGAGACGTAGCTTAAAGAAAATACACTGTATCGTCGCTGTTGCAAATATTTTGCGGAGATTTATTTATTTCTTTATTTATTTATTTTTTTTTATTAAATATAATATTAATTGCTACATAAGAACATTATAAGATAAGAAACTTAAACAAAGTCACTTAAACTTAAGGTAGTGATATAAAATTAATGAAACCAATTGTATCGAATCAACGTTGAAATCATATTTTCTATCATTATCTATCTTCTCTATATCGTGACAATTAATTATTAACTAATTTATAATTACTACTATGACACTAACAGATCGTTTTCCCCCTAACATCAATAAGAACATATCACAACGTTCCCATAATGAAAACATTGAACAACTTACATTAATTCAGTCAAAATCTGCAGCTGTCACTAATCATCCGTACTTACAGCTTAAAACAGAATAAAAATATTAATGTATTTATTAACGCTTCATAGTTACAAACGCACTTTGCATATTCTTCGGTGCCGTATGAAAATCTGATTTTTCAATTTTACTTTCTATATTTCAATTTAACACAATCCAGTATTCAGCATTCAGCATTCATATACTTGATATTAAACATATCTTTTTTTATTCCTTTTTTATCCATACATCTTTCTTTAACAATACTTGATTATTTTAAGTATTTTTTTTTTATTTTTTTTAATTTTTTTTTTTTTTTTTTTTTTTTTTTACTTTACGTAGTTGGTTTAACGAAATATATGCGACCTCTTTTGGATGCATTCGCGGTTTACTAAAGAATTTTGCATTACATAAGCCTCCGTCATTATTTGGTAAAGCATTTGTACTGTACTGCTTTTAATAGTACCATTAAGTCATAACGGATTAAGCCATTGAACCGATATAACGTTCATTCCTTTTGGAAATTCTAAAGAAATATTGTTAGAGCCTAATTGATCGCTCGATTTATTGTAGCTCCGTGCACAACGTAATACCTGGCGCCACCTGGCCAAAGCCGTTGTATTTAATGTTCTAACTATGCAAATTTCAATACTTTCAGGGTACACTGCCAGCTGCTAAAGGTATTCACGAGACGGATGCAAAGCGCAGCTTCCGACAGTCCATCATGTTTCTGTCTCCTCTGAGGATTGCTTTATCATCCGGCGGAGGACGCTCGCGCTTTCTTACAATCCTATAAGACACTCGCCCGGGGTTCAACGAACTCCACGTAACTCGTGCCCATGAACACGTGCCGAGCTAGTGATGCATGGCCTTATGTGGATTTTGCTTACGAACGATGATGGGATTACTTTCGAATGCCAGAGACTTTGAGTTATCGAGTTCCTCAGCGCCAGTACGGGCAAATTGAGAAAGCACGTACGATCGACATGATTTTTGGCGACGATTTGTTCGAATGGGCCTCTGATTTCTCAAATACGCCATACACGCATGCGTTCTACGTAGAAAGGAGTTTGGAATAAATTTGTTTATACTTGACTCCATAATAATTTATATTATTAGTTTATTTCTGTTTAAGATAGCTATATAAGATACTATTTAATGTCGTTTAAGTACCGAAATTTTTGGAAAATGATATTATACATTATGAATTGGAGACAATATATGCTTATGGAATAGGTTTTATGTCGTAAAACAATATTTCAGGGGTTTTTGTACCTTTTTAAGTTAAAAAAATAATCATAGCTTGGCTTACAACAGCTTACAACATCGAGCATATCTAAAAGTGTCAATATTAAAAAAAATTAACGATCGCTATTATCATTGTAATGCTAAATATTAAAAGAAACAATGAATTGAAAGAATATTTCAGTGATAAATATAGAATCTCATTGCAGACGTATACGTAAAATTTAATATTAATCGGTTTCATGCAATTTATTTACTTGGGCGCCATAAACGCAATAATGCATTTAGAATTTTACATTACATTGATACATAGTAAACAACATAATTATGAAAAATTATAAAAATTCAATACATTTCGACTGGCTACTACGTTATGAACTTGTAGAATTTATACGCAACTATATATTCCTAAATTAATAATGTTTGTCGATAAGTATGAAATTTTTAACAATACATAATCAATAAGAATATTTTCTTCTACGAAATATTATTAAAAGCATTAATTATCTCTACATATTTTCATATACTCAATAGTTTTCATTAATTTTATATTAAAATTTTTTAAAAATCTTAATAATTTTAAATTAAAATTATATTTCAACACGATCATTTTATGACGCAATAGACACTATTTTATTTTATGTCGTAAATATTGAAAATAATAAGTTCATAAAAACAATGAATTTACAGAGTATTTTAAAATTACTCAATTATTTTACGAGAGTTATTATTTTAAACAAATGATAATTTATAAATTTACGAAGATACAAACAAACTTGTATCGTATTTCAAAAGCAAATTATTAGAATTATGGCATTTCACTTTCAATTATTATTTTATCTCGTAATAAGCTAGCATACTACCTTGCATAACAAAGAAGAAATATTTTTGTACAATATTTCTTTATTGTATTACACGCACATGTATATTAAGTTTATAAAAAAAAAAATTTATCTTATACCTAATAATAATATAAAAGCTTTCGATATTTAAATAAGTTATAAAATTTGCCAAAAAATTATTATATGTATCATAAAAATTTATGAATTATCATGGCAAATTAAATTTAATATTAATCAGTTAGCTATGATTTTGCAAAATTCGCATAATTACATATACAGCTTTATACACGTAATTTAGAATAAACTGAAAAAATAACTCGAAACAAGTGAAATACTTGCCAAAACTAGATTAACGTAATAATAAACAAAAATTCAAGTATGAAAATAAGATGAGGCAGAGTTTGCAAATGCTTCTGTGATTTGTGTATTTCAAATATACAAATAAGATTTTAATTCCTCATTGAAAAAATTAAATGAAATAGTAATGGTGCTACAATAATGATATATAATATAACTATAGTTGTATATAATTATATAAATAAATATTATTATATTCAAGTATTTTGCTTACGTTATCTTTAAATAATATCAAATAATGGTGTTAATATACAGAATTTGGCTGTTACTAACAAAATTATTGTCATTTGCTGATATTTCTATTCATTTAGACCGAAAATTTAGATAATTATATTTCACTTTTTTTTAGCTTTATAGGATTGTAGTTTAAGTTACATACTTTTTAATATTGTATATAAAAAAATTAATTCCATTTCTTTCTATTAGATATTATCTCTACTATAATTTAAATATGGATTTATATATATATATATATATCGGTATAGGCGAGTGTTTAAAAAAAAAAAGATTTAAGTAACAATTTCGATAAATTTTATACGATAACGTAAATAAGAACAATGTAAATAAGAAACAAAATTATATTTTTTTAAATATTATTATTAAGTAATTTAGATTTTTAAAAAGTGAATACTAATTTTAAAATGTATGAATTTTAACAATGTATTATGCAAAAACAAAAATATCTATAATTATTGTTGAAAATAAATTTTAGTTAATAAACATTAGTTTGAAAACAATCAACGTTTGCTTTAAAAATAAGTTTACGCTTCATAATTAGTGCAAACATTATAGTAAAATAACTTAGTAATGTATTTTTTTGTTTAAAAAATTGTAACAGAAGACGTAAAAAAGAGAAGAAAAAAGTATTCCAAAATATGTGATTTTTGCTTGTAGTTAATCTAAGAATTTCTATGTATTATTATAATATATACAATCTATGGCATGCGCGAACGTGGGGATGCGTGTGCGTGTGTGTGCGTGCGCGCGCGCGTGTAGGCGTCTAGATCCTACTTAGAAACTTATTGATTTTCTAATAGAATGATGAGAATATGAAGGGAAATACGTGTTATTAAGTATGAATTTACCTATGAATTTATATTTAAAATAGCATCTGTACCTCTTACAATTATGTAATTAGTCTAAAGTATATGCGTAATATTAAATCATCATAGAGTATTTAGACAAAACTGATTAAATATTTATTATCTCGTTCAAGTCTGACTTGAACCAATGCAAGGATAATGAAATCAAATAACCAAGCATAATTCACTTAAGCCTGAGGATGGTTTGAAATTTTAATTAATAATATTCAATCAGTATTGATATAGGTAATTGTATTTTTTAGAAGTTTTCTTTTTCATAAATTTTTATAAAAAAAAAAAGAATAAATAAGACATTATATAATTGTTTCGTTGAACTTCAAAAAGCATGTATAAAAATAATAAAATTAATTCATATTTATAATTATAAATGTAATATGTATACGTTAAACATTAATTTATTATTATTATTATTAGATTTAATGTAGCTAGTTAAAATTATTAAACAATATTTTTATAATATAAGTATATTTTCATAGATAAAATGGATAGTTATTGCATTCCTTGTCCTATTAAAGAATTATATTTGTATTTAGAAAAAGGGGTAGATATTAAAATTTTCATATATAATGTTGTTTAATATAAAACATTTTTCATCAAATTAATAATGGGCAATTACTTTTCAGAATTATTCTATTGCGATGAAATTCGACAAAATCATATAATTTTATGTAATTATTCATTTTACTTATTCCATGATTTTTTTTTTATTAATTTTCTTCCACAACATATTTTTCCGAATAAAACTAAAAAGAACATATATAATTTTTATAGCCTCAAGTTGTACATTCTGTGGAAATTCATTGTGATAATTTTTGTATTAAATCAATAGAATAATACGTCATTTATTTATACATTAATTTGGTTAAGTAGATACTTTTCATTAAATAAACTTTTATTAAAAATACATTGTTTTTATACATTATTTATCTTTTAGATTTATATATACATGACAAATATTTAAAGTATACTCATGTTCACGTTAATTAGAACAAGACATTTTTTCTCCATGCATATGTTGTGAAATGTCAAGATGTGTTTTTTGGTTTTTGGCTTTACAACGAATAAATCTACTGAATTAATAAAAGCATTGATTGTTGCGTGTTAAACGAAATATTAAAAATATTAAATATTAAATAACACTCATCATAATATTATATCTTATCAAACATATGTTGAAAATAAACAATAAATTTGTATAGCATTTATTATCTTATCTGTATTTTATAAAATTTATAAAATATAAAATCCGTTAGTGATAATTAATCATAAAATTATGCGAGTAATTTAATATTTTACAATATTCTGAAATTAATAAAATTAATATTGAATATTATAGAAAGTTGTAAAAAATTAATATTATAAAAAGCTAGTGTTTATATTCTATAGCATTTAGTTTCTATTAAATATAAAATTTCTTTTGTTTTCTTTTCTATTAATTATTAGTTTCTATTAATTATAAAAATTTGTTGTTGAATAAATATTATTCTAATTATATACCGAAGTTTCTTTTATTAAGTTTTATTATATATCCTGATTTTCAATTTGGATAATTATTAAAATAAAAATATATACGATAATAAAAGTTATTTAATTAATCAATTTCAAATTAATTAAGAATTTCCTTTGTAATCTGAAATTTTATTTTCTTATTATCTTTACAATCTAATCTACTATGATAAATGTAATACATTGATTCCATTTTTTTTTTATCCTTTACTTCTGATAAAGATTTTCTTTAGGTTTCTTTTTTTCCTTTTTTATTTTGTCATAACGTCATAGGATCGATCTCTATGAAGCTTGGAATGAACAGAAACTAAAGCCAACCTTATTTTCTTACTATAATATTAGTAAGAGAGGCGCTTAAAAAGTTGTTGAGTGGGCAACTTAGTGAATTCAAAAATCGTGCCACTTTAGATAAAAAAAAAAAAATAAATACTAATAATAATAAAAAATAGAGAAAGTGAGAATGAAAATTATTATATCCTGAGGGGGATGGAGGCATCGTGTGCAGGGAAGAAGAACATTTTACTTGAATTTCATCTTAAAAGCAAAAAGAGAGTACAAGCTGCGTCGGATGGATAGGGGTCGAGACAAAAGGGCAAATGCGTACGTACTTAATTCACCCTCCACAGCACCATTAAATCACCAACCCTAGAAAAATCGTCTCGTTTTAGTTGATATATGCTCTTGGTCAGCTGTTTTTATTATCTTTTGTACTTTACATTACATTCTTATCAGTTGAATTCCATTGTTCTGTTTTTAAAAGGTGTTCGTGCTTAATTTGTGGATCCTGTGAGTGCAATTTTACTCTTGTAAGCGTTGTAGCACTTACCAGCTTATTTATCTACCAAGATGTATTGTATTTTTCTATACTTCAGGGCTAAAGTTACTTGAAAAAATTGTAATAGCAAAAATAAAATACTTTAAAGGAAATAATAAAGAATAATGTCAATAAATATGAAAATTTTATTTATTGATCAATTTCGTCAATGATATTTCAAATTTTATTACAATTTATTTTAATGAAGGGAGTTTTGTTTGTAAGTTCACTACAAATGTATTAATATAATGTTTTTATAAACATCATAAATACATTAGTATAAAATTAAATCCTTGATACTTATGAAATTTATAATAAAGCCAAATATAATTTCAGACATTATTGTAAATAACATTTATTAGCTACGGATAAATTTTATGATTCTAAATA